TCTGCCTGATTCCCTGTAACTTCACTTTTCACAGGGAGGGAACCACCAGAAGGCCCTCGGAGCTGGACCTCAGTGTCTGAGCTGAACGATGGGGGTGGAGACGCTCCTTCAAGTATACTGGGCCAAGGCCGTTTAGGGCTTTCAAGGTCAGCACCAACACTTTGAATTGTGCTCAGAAACGTACTGGGAGTCAATGTAGGTCTTTCAGGACCCGTGTTATGTGGTTTTGGGGGCCACTCCCAGGTTTGTTTGGTTTTTTTATAATCAGGCAGTATATAAAGTTTGTGAAATAAGATAAATAATCAGTAAATTTATTTCAAAAGTTTTTCTACTACAGTCATACCTCGGGTTGAATGTGCTTCAGGTTGAGCACTTTCGGGTTGTGCTCTGTGGCAACCCGGAAGTAACGGAGCATGTTACTTCTGGGTTTCACCGCTCGCGCATGCGCAGACACTCAAAATGATGTCACGCGCATGCACGGAAGCGGCAGAACGCAACCCATGCATGTGCAGATGCTCCATCGCGTCTTACATTCCATTCAGGATGCGAACAGGGCTCTGGAACAGATCCTGTTCGCATCCCGAGGTATCACTGTACTTAATTACAACCGCCTCTAAGTGGTGTATGAGTAACTCAATGCAATGAAAATGAAAGTCGGATGAAAATGTAAAATCAGAATTCACTATGCAGGCTAAGGGAGCTGGGCATGTTTAGCCTGGAGAAGAGGAGGTTAAGGGGTGATATGATAGCCATGTTCAAATATATAAAAGGATGTCACACAGAGGAGGGAGAAAGGTTGTTTTCTGCTGCTCCAGAGAAGTGGACACGGAGCAATGGATCCAAACTACAAGAAAGAAGATTCCACCTAAACATTAGGAAGAACTTCCTGACAGTAAGAGCTGTTCGACAGTGGAATTTGCTGCCAAGGAGTGTGGTGGAGTCTCCTTCTTTGGAGGTCTTTAAGCAGAGGCTTGACAACCATATGTCAGGAGTGCTCTGATGGTGTTTCCTGCTTGGCAGGGGGTTGGACTCGATGGCCCTTGTGGTCTCTTCCAACTCTATGATTCTATGATTCTAGTTAGTGCATATATTTCATGCCTTGTGCATGTGATGATCCAACACTAGGAAAAAGTGGCCCATTGTTGCTTCCCAGCTTGAGCGCATGGACTCACCATCTATCTGTACTTGTTAGCCTTGCTGGAGATCTATCTGTAGATGATTTCCATGCAGATGTGTTTCTGCAGGAATTTTAACAGCACTGCAAGTGATGGTTAGTTGCTCTCGAAGTGCCATAAAACATGAACCATTCATTCTGTCCCTGCCCAGAGGAGGTTGCCATGTTAAATTAAGTAGACAGAATCAAAACATCTGACTCAACAAATAAACTCCAAGCAATCTTACTTTCGACGATGATATATATATATTCTTCACAAAGGGAAACAGAGTGAAGTCAGCGAAGCCAGCAGGCTTGCTTAAAATTCCTACCGCGTTGCATCAGAGGGCTAAAACAGGTTGCTAAAACAGCTGTTTTCTTTTGGTAGGAAAGGCTCTCTAACGTAACAGAGAATTCTCAGGACCTAACCAAACGTCAGTTCAGCATGGAAAAACGACCCTTTAAAGCTGCAAACCTCTGTGCAATTGCAAGGGAGCAAATTCTGCTGAGCAAATTGGGACGTGCAATAAAGAGGAATAATATTGTCCTGGAAGTTGGCCTGAGATGGGCCACGATGCTGGTTTTTTACCTATAAAGCCTTACACCACTCAGTACTATTATACCTCCCTTCAGGGATGCCAACTTGAATAAAATATTAGGGGGGCGCAGCCAAGCCCCACCCCACATAATTGAAGCCGTTCCAGAGGTGTAGTCACTGCCGCATGCTGACAGCTTCTAGGAGCCCCAGGTGAGAGCTGAGAGCAGGGTGGGGACCAAAGGAGGACAAACGACCCCAGAAGGAACGCAAAGCCCCCCCCCCCGAGTTACTAGCCCCCCCTAACACCCCATACATTCCAGAAGTGATGATATTTGCATTTGTTGGCAGAAAACAAGCTGGATCTTTTTATTGAGTGTTTTTAAAAACCCGTAGGTATTTTTTATTACTTTCGAGGTTCGGGTGAGGGTGTGTTTTCTATAATTAAGAAGGAGGGGGGGGAAACCCAAAGAAATAAAACGAATAGCCCGTCGTCCTCTCCCCAAAGTCCTTTGCTCCTGAACACCTGGCGAATGCCTCCCTCCCTCCCTCCTCAGCCCACCATGTTACTTCACAGGAAGTTCCTACAGGCGATCCTGGGGCATAGCTCAATCATGCTGAATATGAGGAAAATAATATTAAGTCCATGTGTTTCAGACAAAACACAGCTGGTTCCCTCCTGCACCATCATCCTCGGCTCAGCCTTGTCCCTCTCTTCCCCACTTCCACTCCCGCACCTCCCCTCCGTTACCTTGCGACTGGGCTTCAGATGTGCAAATATTGCCACAGAATCCAAAATTCCCATGTCTAATGTGAATTATTAGATCTCTCTCTCTCTCCCTGTTTTACTGAAATTATCTCTCAAGGGAGCAGGCCTCAGGCCGGTCAACCTAGTTACTTGGTTCTAGGGGAGGGAGAAGTGTTGGGGAAAAAGGCTTGATTCCTTGCCACAGGGATATGCAGCAGAGGAGGATGGCTCTGCCCCCCCCCCCCGTGACTCACCAAGGCTGCAGCTTTCAAAGCATCTGCTGGTTTTGAGGCTTCTGTAGGCTGCCTGGTTTTTTCCTACAGAGAGGATGGTGGGACACTCCTTGTGGGTCTCTCTCTCTCTCCTCTCTCTCTCCCTCTACCCTTAAAATGATTTTTCTAAGCCTCAGTACAACCTGCATATGATACAGTGGGGTTGTTGCGTTGGAATGGGAGAGGAAGGCGAAATAGCTCACACAGAAAGGCCAACCTAGCTACCTCCCACATTCTGAAGCAACGCAGAAACTGAAACACAGCTACGCTACGCAATTTGCACTTTTCCAAATTTTGCAAGGTAGTGCTCCAGCCAAGCAACATGTACAAAAGTGCATATTCCCTGGCAAATAAAAAATGCACATACTGTATTCATGAACATAACATATACAAATGCATTACATCAGGGGAAATTGCTTTGCAAAAAGAATGTGAATATTTTTCTGTTGGGATCTTTGGATAATTACAAATGCAATTAATTAATTAATAATAAAGCTGTATACAAACACATGTGTGTTAGGAAGGATTTGTGCCAAAATGCTGATCCATTTCCCATGCTTCTGGTCTGCCGGTGGAAGCTGTAGTAGGCGGAGCCAAGCACAGCACCACCCAATCAGCGATGGCTGTGATATCAGTGAATGAACATATGCAAATTGAATGCAAATGCATGTGTCCCATGGGCCTGCTTAATGTTCGTGCATCTAGCTCAGTGTTGCAAAAGCCACCTGGGGGTAGCTCTGTGGAGATTTTGGGCAATTTGTCTGCCCATCCTTTGACTTGACTAGCCACAATTCTTCAAGGGCAGAAACAGAAGTTGTTCCCAGATGTCAGGAATTCAGCCTGGGATCTTTTGCATGCAAAATGCGGACGTCTACCAGAGCCAGAGTCCTTTTCTCCCCTGCATCCCAAAGCATCAAATCATATTAGCTTTAACATGTCATTTTCAGTTCAGAGACACTCTTATGGCAAACCATTGCTTGACTTCCATCATTTGATTCTGGCCTCTTTCCCTATCCCAAACCTTCTCCTCACAGGTGGTCAGTCATGGAGAGCTCCACTCGCCCCCTGCTGGAGAATTTATCCAGTTTCTTCCAATGAGATGCAGGAGTAGATTCTATGCAGCCAGCTGCAGTGTCACCTCAAGATTGACATCTCAAGGGCCCCAGCCTAGCTTTCAGGGAGCTGAAGCAGGAGACCCCTTTGGGAAGGACTGCTGAGGGATGATTTGCTGGGAGAGAAAGGGAGTGTGAGTCTTAGGGTGCAAGATATGAGGGACATTTCTGTTGGCTATTTGCAGTTTAGTAGCGCTGCAGAGAGCTTGCTGGGGAGACCATGCATTAAAAAGGGACTCAGAAATAACTTAAACAATGTTTTAATAACAAAAGCAAAAATTCCTTATACACTAAATACATCAACAACAAACCAGACCCAACCACCAACCCATCCCCCAGGGTAATGAGAGAACTAGGTGCTGCTCCTTATATACTACACCCAATTGCTGACACAGCTTAATCAATACAACTCAGCAGCACCTGCTATGTTTCACAGCTGTAAAGCTGGGTCTCCTTATTTTGCTCTGGCCCTTGCTCTGGCCCCTTAAAGGCATACACATCGGGTGGAACAATGATGAACCCTTACATTTAAAGTAACCATTCAACAATTTCACCTCTGAGTGTGAGCATTGTGGGAATTGTAGCATAACCTCATGCCCACGCAGCAGAAGGCAGGTGGGTGGCATGAGGCCACTGTTTGGGGCACCAACTGTGGAAAGGGCAGGAGGGGAGCTGATCACGGATACTGGATGAGATGGGCCTGATCCTGCAGGGCTGTCCTTCATGTTTCCATGCCTTTCTGGCCAGATTGTGGCAATGAAGGGGAGCTTGCTATGGAGTGGGGTGATATTCAGAGTTCAACATACTATATACTATATTTATAAGAATACTGGGACGCGCTGGGAGCGCATGCCAGCCCCCGTGGCAAGGACTTCGTCGGGGTGGGTGACTCGTGGACCCACGGGAAAAGATTTTCAGGATTTGTGAGGGAGGTTGTAGTTGGACAGCCCCCTCACCAGCAACTTTGACGGGGGAGATCCGTTCACGGTGGATGGGTGCAGGGAAGGCGGGCAAGCCCAGGTGAGGGCGCGGAGGACCCAGAGCCGTGGGCGCCGCGCGGTGGCTCCTCCGCCTCCGCCCAGCACCGCGGGCGGAGCTTTTCCTCTCCGCGTCCCGCCCGTTTCCTTTCCTCGCCGCGCTTCTCCTCCCGCGCCGTCGGGCGCCCTGCCTAGCCCTGCCCGTCCCGCGGCGGCGCCCTCGTCCTCCCGCAGCAGCGGAGCCCGGGAGGGACCGGGCCAGCGGCGGGCCAGGCAGCCTCCCTCCCTCCCGCGCCGAGAGGACGTCCCGTCCAGGGCTGCGCGGAGGGCGAGAGGCGGAGGCGGTGGGAGGGGGCCCAATCCGTCGCCGCCGCCTCCCCGATCCTTCCCCCCTCTCCCCACCCCCCACCCCCCGCGGCGGGGCTGAGCGGGCCCCCCGCCGGGGCCGCGATGTGCCGCCGCCTTTGTTTGCTCGAGGAGATGCCCCCTCCGCGCCGCTTGGCCCAAGCCGGCGCCTATAAAGGCCGCCGGGGCCAGACGGGACGGTAACTCGCTCCGGGATCCCGCGCTCGCCTCGCCGCGATGACCCTGCTGGGCGCGGCGCTGCTGCTGCTGCTCCTGCCGCCGCTCGCCCTCGTGTGGCCGGGCCACGGCTCAGCCCCGCGCCCGCCCAAGCCCCTCTTGCCCATCCAGCCCGAATCGGCGGACCCTCTACCCTCCAAGGGGGCGGCAGGTAGGACCCTCCTCCTCCTCCTCCCTGGGACGCGCGGGTGGCGGAGGCTTCTTTGCAGGAGATGGGCACGCCACCCCCCACCCCTCGGAAGGGCGCATCCTGACCCAGCCCTGTCTCCCTTGCTTGGTTGGCACAGCTGCCCGGGCAGCGGCAGGCGAGCCTCCCAGCTGCTTCCCACGGACGGATTTCGAAGACCCCGTGCCCGCACCTCTCGGCCGGGCGGCAGGTGGACGTCGAGGCTGGAGGTGGACGGGGACGCGGCGTTTGGGAAGCCTCCCGGGCCGCTTGGACAAACGCGGGCGGGTTGCCGACGGGCGAGGAGCGCGCTTCCAAGTGGGACAGACGGGGAATGGTTGCGGGTGCAGGGATGCCTGCTGTGTGAGAGAGTGACTCGGGTGTGTGCGTGCATGTGTGTTTGGAAGCGGTCAGCGTGCAACGGGAGGCACCAAACGCAGCAGATGGCACGAATTTGGGTAGGAAGAAAAGTTTCTTGCCAGGCGACCCCACTCCCAAGGCTTTGCCCAGAGCTATTCCACACAAGACACCCACACTCGTTCAGTGTTCTAGACGTGCAGTCCTGGGTGCTGTGAGGTTGCAGGAATGCCAAGCGGGTCGAGGCACCGCTCAACAGGCATAGCTACGCACAAGTCACAGACTTTCACCTTTGAGGCTCAGTCCTGGAACAGGTGAAGAGCTGGCGATGCACATTAGGTGTCCCTAAGATTATGCAGCAGCCCTGATGGATCAGTGGTTGGGAAAATGGGCTCCTCGAGCAGAGAAGGTGGACTTCCCATCAAATTTAAATCTCCAAAGATTTTATTTTATTTTTAATCAGGGGAGGAAGGAACGTGGAGGAAAGAAATTGGGGAGCGATCACCAGCTCAGCTATTGCAAGGCAGCCTAAGCGGTTGTAACAGTCGGTAGAGTGTGAACTCTTAATCTCAAGGTCCGGTTCGAGCCTCACGTTTGGCAAAAAGATTCCTGCATTGCAGGGGGTTGGACTAGATGACCCTCAGGGTCCCTTCCAACTCTACAATTCTAGGATTCTAACTGAAATGCATATTTATTTTATTGAGCAAGATTTATATATATCACTTAATCAACAAATCCTGTCCATTAAAATCATTCATTAAAAGTACCAACTGAAAAAAACCCACATTGACATGAAATATATCAAAATCCAAATGAATCCCCTTATTTATTCATGTACCTCTTCTCATTCCATTCCTCTCCTGCCTTGGAAATTTATTTATTTATCTTGTTTATTTAGATTTGTATGTTCCCTGAGGCAGGGACCTGCCTCGTTGTTTCTTAATATTATAATTGTTCATCCTCACAACAAGCCTGTGAGGTAGGAGAGGCTGAGAGGCAGTAATAGGTTCAAAGTCACCCAGTGAGCGCCGTGACCAAGTGGGGATTTGAACCCTAGCCCCCCCCCCAGGTGTGAGCGCAGCACTTTAACCACTATACCACACTGTCTTTAATGGTACTATTTAGGTCCAGTCAACATTTACATAGCAGGTATATAAATTATTAGGTGTTGCCAGAATTTTTGCGGGGGGGGGAGGACTTTTTTGGGGTGGCAGGACTGACGTGATTGGTCAGTTAAGTATTTCTATTGTTCTACTTGATCTGGGGGGAAGCTGCCCCCCTGCCCCCCTTTTCTATGCCCAGTGTGTTTTTTCCTAAAAAAATGTTTAGGGGTATTCTCATTTTCCTACTCATATTGAAATACTGCCCCTCAATGAGGCCAAACTTAGATTCACAAAATGTTTAGGGGTATGTGTACCCCTGAACCCCTCCCCCCCGAAAAAAGCACTGCCTATGCCTGTTATGTAAGTAAAGAACTACTTGGAGGAATCTCTGTGTCATCTGCTTTGTCAACCCACTACTTAATGCCCGTGCGGCAGGTCTGCATAGGCTGAAGATGGTGGGTTAGGGCACATGGAGGAAGGAATTAAGAGGCACGAGGGTGGATGAGGGTGGATTGGGAACTGCGTGCTTGAGATGTGAAATAGAGAATTTTTGGGAAAGGGGTGATGCTTGGGCCTAGGGCTGAAATCCTGTCCCTGGAAGTGGTGAACCCCATTGAGAATGGGTGGACTTACTTCTAAGTTAGATATGCATAGGAATCCATTGTTAAGTCCGCTCATTATTAAACACACCCTTTGCAACTGTAAGCTCTGGTTCCTGATTCCAAATTGGGGTGTCTGATCAGTAATAGGTAAATGTACTCCTGTCCATGCCTGCAGTTGCTCTTTTTTCATTTAGTTTTAAACATCTTTACTATAACTTCAAAAAGTACATAATTATATGTGCACTAAACATTTTGAGATGTAGATAAAAGAGAGAAAAAGAAAATAAGAGGAACAGAACCCGTGTAGAAGAGAAAATAAAGAGGGGGGGAACTCCCAAAACTATATTTTACAAGGTTGTTGTTGTACTTCACCAGATCTTAACCTATTACAGTATTTGCAAGAATGGATTCCAAATATCATTGAATTTGACCATGGCAAGTCTGCGTTTATATGCAAGTTGTTCATATGTTGCGAGTTTGTATAAGTCTTCAAGCCAATAATCATAGAAGGGAGCCACATTTTTATTTTTCCAGCTGATGAATTGGATGCCCGCAGTTGCTCTTTCCTTCACCGCTGCTTTTTTGGCTCTGAGAAGAAGTTTGAAGGTTATAAACTCTGCTGAGTCCTAATTGAACTGGACAGCTCAGTTGGTTAGAGCATGGTGCTCGCCAAGGTTGCAAGTTCAATCCTCGTATGGGACAGCTGCGTATTCCTGCATTGCGGGGGGTTGGACTAGATGACCCATGAGGTCCCTTCCAAATTGACAGTTCTGTGATTCTAAGGAAGCCTTAAGGGCAGGGCTCTGGAGGGCAGGGCAGGTGCTGGAGGTTGCTGGGTGGACCTGGGTGAGTCAGCAGACAGCCTGTGCTTTTAGTGAACTGATTTATTTGGAGGAGCGGGTCAGGCAGCTGGAAGACCATGTACATTTCCTGCAGACCTGAGGTGAAGAAGGGCCTCAGAAGCTGATGTCAGGGTCCAGGTTGGTTCATATGGAGAGAGGTGGTCCTTGAGGTATTGCGGTCCTGAGCCATTTATGATGCTGGATGATGGTTTTCAGGTCGGTCTTCCTGTGCTGATCTATGTACGTGCTTGGCTGGTGCACTTATGAACATTTAACATATATCTAAGACCTCAAAATTCCTATCACAGCTTAAATGGGCTCACATGGAGCTGGAAGGTGCAGGCAGGAGGCTTGCAAGGGCCAATTAAAAGTATCTCCAGTTAAAAGGATCAAAAGCAGCAGATTTGGGGCTGGATTCAGATAGCTGCTGCCAGTCAGTGCTCAGCTGAGTGGCCCAGTGTCCTGACTCTGGGATAGGGCTTTTGAAGGTGATGGAATTATGTGGAACTGGCAAGATTAACAGCAAAGATGAGAGACAACAGAATTTGAAATAGGAGCACCAGCATTATTTATTAAGATAAATAGGTTAGAATGGATGTATTGAATATTATACGTGAAATATGCATCCTTTAAGGGTAAATATGGAAACCATGGAAATGGGGTATGGTAAGACAATGGATAAAGTAATTTATGGTCTATACCAAAATCTGGTTTTTTTTTGGTGCAAAATCAATAAATAGTTGTTTTTAAATAGAGGCAACCTTCATAGAGGCTTTCAGGAGCACTCAAGACTCTTCATCTCTCCCCCTCCCCCAATTTCTTTTAGGCTGCTCTTTCGGTGGCAGATCCTATGCCCTGGAGGACACTTGGCATCCAGACTTGGGCGAGCCTTTTGGCATCATGCACTGCGTGGTCTGCTCTTGCGAGCCAGTAAGTGGTTATTTCCAATTCGTTTCTCTCTCTCTTTTTCCAGATGTGGGAGGGAGTTGCTGCAGAACCCCCAAGCAGGACTGGGGAACCTTCTCCACTGCGGGGGCCACATTCCCTTCTGAGCAAACTTTCGGGGGGCCACAGAGTACCAGTGGGCGGGGCCAGGGGCCAGATATGGGCGGAGCTACAATTGGGACTTTCCCCTTGGTGCTGTAGGCTGGTTTCAGCACAAACTCACCTCCCCCACCAAAAAAGGGAAAACAAAACAAAACAAAACAAAACAAAACAAAACAAAACAAGACAAACACATTTGGCTTTCGATTAGACTCATTGTATTATTATTTCTACAATTTTTACACACACAGTTCCAAGTTATTGTATTTCTTTCTTTGCTTTCGTCAGATATCAAAAAGCATTATATTTGTTGCCCTTTTAGCAGGGAGGAAACTTGGTACAGTGGTAGCTCTGGTTATGAACTTAATTCGTTCCGGAGGTCTGTGCTTACGGTAACCTGAAACCATTCTTAACCTGAGGTACTACTTTAGCTAATGGGGTCTCCCACTGCCGCTGCACAATTTCTATTCTCATCCTGAGGTAAAGTTCTTAACCCGAGGTACTACTTCCAGGTTAGTGGAGTCTGTAACCCGAAGTGTTTGTCACCCGAGGTACCACTTTATTATTACCTGCTGCTGGCCTCCTTGCCTTCCAGTGAGAACCAGCCGCCACCGCCACTACCTACCCTCGAAGGAGAGTCATGTCCCGGAAGCAGCCAACTTAAAGCCATTGCATGATACCCTGCATTGAGTTTGCCTCTTTCCAATCAAAGAACACAGAAAAGCAGAAGGTGGTCTCCTTTGAGAGCAAGCAGCTTTTCCATGCTTTTGGCCGAGTAAGCCTCTTCCCCACCCCCTCTTCATAGGGTGACAATCTGTGCTTCCGGTTCACACTTTAAAACACCTTAAAAATAAATACCTAAGGTCTGCTTTAGGAACTGGAAGTTCAGGAAACTCTGTTCTCTTCTGTATGAGAGCATCTACTCAGGCACACAAATACTGAGTGAGTTCCAAACTAGGTGAGACCACAAGAGAGCCATGACCAGATTATCTCCTGTGGGGTTATTTCCAAAAAAAGAAAGAAATTAAAGGTAGATACATTTGAAACAAACCATCTCCCCTCTCTGCATGCACACAGCTGCGCATACCCTGTTTGGGGCGGTGGGGGGGGGGGAAGGCCGGGAAGAGCTCATCCCAGACCTCCCACCTTCATTACTCCCCAAGAGAGGCTCAAAAGTGCATTTAGTCACTCATTTTTAGTGTAATGTAGAAAACTGCTTTTTCTTTCTGTCACACACGCACACAAATCTCTTAATCGCTTCAAGGTACGTCTAGGAGCCTTGCCTCAGGCCTCTTCTGTTGATTCTAAACAGTTTTTAATATTGTGTTTTACACTGCTGTGACGTGCCATAAAGTCACACCTTCTGGCGAAGGACAGGTTATTAATAACAATAATGATGCTAATTAATGCTAACTCCAGTGATCAGAGAGCTGGGATTTCAGAGTGGAGTTCTGGCTTGCAATTCTGTCATTTGCATGTCTTTTTTGGACAAGGCCCTCACCTAATCCCCCATCAGCTGCAAAACAGGAAATTATAGTGTCCTGCAAAATGCAGATAGTCACACACACACACACACACACACACACACACACACTTCAGCTTGTTTATCTATTGGTCTATTTGTTGATTGTTTTCTTTTCAGACTGTATTAAATTATAGTGTTGCTCTTTGATGATATTTTGCATAAGTTGCCTCGTGCTTCCCCCCCCCCTTTTTTTAAAAAGTGGGGGTGCAAACAAATTCATAAATAACAGGGAGGCTGGGAAAGCAGATCTCATAAACACCGCACTTGCAGGTGCCCTCTATTGAGGAAGTGCCTGTACTTTTGGACACGGTCACATTATTTCCCTTCCGCAATAGCTCAAAATGCTCTGGCACGTCCTTTGCTGCACGATACGCTCCAAGACAATTTCCTGAAGTAAATCTGCCGTCGCTGTTTGTCCCCGCTGCAGGGAGAGGGCAGTGCTGGGGCACAGGATTCATCTCTGGTGCAGTTGGAGAGGCAAGCAGACGGACTGGCTTTGCCCTGTGGTCTGCCCTAGATAGTACAGTGGTACCTCGGGTTACATACACTTCAGGTTACATACACTTCAGGTTACAGACTCCGCTAACCCAGAAATAGTACCTCGGGTTAAGAACTTTGCTTCAGGATGAGAACAGAAATCGTGCTCCGGCGGTGCGGCAGCAGCAGGAGGCCCCATTAGCTAAAGTGCTGCTTCAGGTTAAGAACAGTTTCAGGTTAAGAACGGACCTCTGGAATGAATTAAGTACATAACCCGAGATACCACTGTACTGTTTGGCTTTGGTAGCCCAGAGAAGAGAAAACTGAGCATTGATACGATAGCCATCTTCAAATATCTGAAGGGCTGTCAGATGGAAGAGGGAGCAAGCTTGTTTTCTGCTGCTTCAGAGGGTAGGACCCAAACCAGTGGATTCAAATGACAAGGAAGGGGATTCCCACAAAACGTTAGGAAGAACCTTCTGGTGGTAAGAGCTGTTCAACAGTAGAATGGACTCCCTTGGAAGGTGGTGGGCTTGCCCACATTGGCGGTATTAAAACAGGTTGGATGGCCACCTGTCAGGGATGCTTTAGCTGTGATTCCTGCATTGAAGGGGGCTGGGCTGGATGACTCTACAGTCCCATGATTCTGTGAATGCAGAATTTGCACTGAATTTCTTATATTGATTCATGATGGGGGAAGGTCATGAACCTCTAATGGCCTCTCCATGCACCATTTTTTTGTGGCACATTTATAACTATTTGCACTGATTGTGCTCTCAAGCTGGTCACACGCAATCCCTCTTTCATAATTCCATGGTTTTTTATAGCCATGAATGTCGTGGTTTGTTTTTGTCCTGCTTTTGTTGCGCAACAACCCCTCCAGACAGCAAAAATGCAGTAGCCATGGGGAAACATGGAGAGAGCAACCTAAAGCAGAACAAAGGCACCACTGATGTGCTGTTATTGTGTCAAGAACATGTTGCAGGATATACCTGCAATGAAACACTCGCCTGGAGGGTTAGAGTCCTAGAGGAATCAACCACACAAATGAACACACACACACACATACACTGGAAGGAGATGTCTCACTTCCATCATACAACTCTTCGCACACTGATGTTGTATCAAAGCCATGGACATCCACTAGCTCATCCAGTTCCTTGCCCCTGGATGAACCATAACACTCAGATTAAAAGGTAAAGGTAAAGGGACCCCTGACCATTAGGTCCAGTTGTGACCGACTCTGGGGTTGCGGCGCTCATCTTGCTTTATTGGCCGAGGGAGCCGGCGTACAGCTTCCGGGTCATGTGGCCAGCATGACTAAGCCGCTTCTGGTGAACCAGAGCAGCGCACGGAAATGCCATTTACCTTCCCGCCGGAGCGGTACCTATTTATCTACTTGCACTTTGACATGCTTTCGAACTGCTAGGTTGGCAGGCGCAGGGACCAAGCAACAGGAGCTCACCCCGTCCCAGGGATTCGAACCACCAACCCTCTGATCGGCAAGTCCTAGGCTCTGTGGTTTAACCCACAGCGCCACCCGCGTCCCTTCTACACTCAGATTACCAGCTTGCTTTAAAAGAAAAGAAAAGAAAGTTTCTAGCAGAGCCTGAGATGTGAGTCAGAAAGTACAGGCCCTAATCTCACTTTGGTGCATGAGATTAATTAGCCTGCTCCCCCGCTCTGCTTGGAAAAAATTCTGCGGATGCCCTTGTCAGAACTGCTTCCTCCTGGGGTTGGGAGAGTCAGGAGTGGAGGTGAAATGATTTTACTCCCAGTAATTCCTCTCACATGTCTTCTTGTCAGATGTTGATATTAAGAAATCGCATGGTATTCTTGGATTATTTACTGATTACGCAGTGAATATTTGAGATCAATATGTGGCATCCAGTTATGGATAAATCACCATCTACGGTAGCTGGCACGCAATGCGATCTAGAATTTGATAGTTGATATTACAGTTGGCGTTTGACACTATTGAATGGTTGGCAAGGATAACTTTTGACTGCTTGACATTTAATGGTTTTGGCAGTATTTAGTTGTCAAAATGAAAAACGAATTGAATATGTAAGCATATTCGATAGATGAGATGCAGCAACATACAATCTTCCCAGTATTTGATATTTCATATTTGACAACTGTCAAGATAAAAATAATTGAGGAAAATCAGCAAGCCAGGTAATGCGTGCAAATTTCAAAATAAAATTTCACATTAAGATTCCGTGTTTTGAATTCTACTTTCAAACGCTGAGGATCATTGTAGTATATTTTGGCACATTTTAATGTTTTGTGAATTTTTTTTCAGCTCTCGTTGAGGCTCATCTCTCTTTCAGCCTTCCTCCTCTGAACCACTAGTTTGGCAATGTTAGCGGATAACAGTAAATAATTGCATTACCGTGATGTTTTTACAGGTGTAAACTACTACAGTGGTACCTTGGGTTAAGTACTTAATTTGTTCCGGAGGTCCGTTCTTAACCTGAAACTGTTCTTAACCTGAAGCACCACTTTAGCTAATGGGGCCTCCTGCTGCTGCTGCACCGCCGGAGCACGATTTCTGTTCTCATCCTGAAGCAAAGTTATTAACCTGAAGCACTATTTCTGGGTTAGCGGAGTCTTTAACCTGAAGCATATGTAACCTGAAGCGTATGTAACCCGAGGTACCACTGTACCGTTCCCTGGTGTGAAATTGGAAAGCACCCATAGACAGTAGCATTTTACTATCATAACAGCAGTTTCCTTCTGCTGATGGAGCATGCAACTTTCGGAACTTATCTCTGCATCATAAACTTTTTTTTTAAGAGTTAAGTGAGGCTTCTCTGGAACCGATAATGAGATACGAGGTGCATATTCTGCGAGGTCCAGCACAGATGTGGAAGCACAGCTCGCAATGCATAGCAAATGCCTCAGACGCATGTCCTCCATCATCAATATTTTCTCTTTCCCTCCACAGCAGAGGAATCATCGTGGGAAGCCGACAGGCAAAGTCAGCTGTAAGAACATTAAGCATGACTGTCCCACCCCACCTTGCAGTGATGCCATCCTGCTGCCAGGACACTGCTGCAAAACCTGTCCGAAGGGTAAGGGTTGATGGTGACGGTGGTGGGTCCTATGTTTTCCGTGGGGCAGAAGGTAAAGTCGGTTGTCCTTGTGGGTTGTGGGCCTCCCTGACACTAGCCAATCTGGCCTTCTCCCACGGCAGATGAATATTTGGGGGCCCTCATGAAGTGGGGTGTGAATTCGCCTCAATTTCTAAACCATTTGCCTCACGGAGCCCCCTGGCACTCAGGGGCCAATTTTCCTGTCCAGCCAGCCAGTTTCGTTGGTCAGAGGAGGGTAGTGAATTGAGCACTGCACCTTGACTGGGGAGACCCACCTTGTCCACAAAGCTCACTTGATGACCAGCCACTATCTCTCAACCTAACTTTTCTCATAAAATTGGAGAGGGGCAGGGGCATGTTTGCCACCTTGACTTGATCGAAACATGAAACAAGTAAATAAAGGCAGTCCCCAAGTTTCTTTAGGTTATGCTAATTATATTCAAATCAGCCTAAAAGTGATTCATGAGTACTAGAAGCTTCCTCCGTTTTTGGTAGAGAGCAGAAGAGAAAGGGCACTCATAATCTTAAGGACCAACATTATATGGCGCAGAGTTTGTGTATGAAATGCTTCGCTGTAACAGCTTGTGCAAGATGCATCCTTTCCAGACTTCCTTGGCAGCTATTTGAGGACGCACCCTCAAGCCTGTTGATGCAGGCGACTTCCATTTGAAAAGCTACTGTTTTCACGGAGAGGCTTGTGTATCAAATCTCTCAGACTGGAGGTGGAAGGGGAGGATATCCGAAGGAACGGATGCTCCCTGGTTTATTCAGTGTGTTGATTTTGTGCATTGAGCCAGGGCCTGCTTCCCCTGTATAGTCTATTTCCCAGTTTGTTTGGGTATCTCTGGGCATCTGAGAAGAAGGGAGCTTGTCTGTGATCATAGCACCCTGAACGACACACCTGCCCCAGCCAGCTCAGCAGAGTTTGTTCTGGGACGGGAGACTGCTTGGGAACACAAGAGGGTTGTACGTTTCACAGGAGTATGAAGGGTTCAGCCGGGTGGGGGCTTCAATGCTGCAAATGGGCCACCGAGATATTGCAAACAGGTTGTTGGTTGTTTAAAAACTTTTTTTCCTTGGAAACAGTAACTCTGGATTAAATGGAGGGTAAAATGCGACCTGGAATTTCTGATGACAACAATGTCACAGGGACTGTGCAAGAAAAAACCTTACAGGCACGAGGAGCACTGATCCCCACAAATAATAATAATAATAATAATAATAATAATAATAATAATATTTTATTTTATTTTATTTTATTTTATTTTATTTTATTTTATTTTATTTTATTTTATTTTATTTTATTTTATTTTTTATACCCCATCCACCTGGCTGGCTTTCCCTAGCCACTCTGGGCGACTCCCAGGAGAATAGTAAAAACACGATAAAATATCAAACATTACAAACTTCCCTAAACAGGGCTGCCTTCAGATGTCTTCTAAAAGTCAGATAGTTGTTTTTCTCTTTGACATCTGATGGGAGGTCGTTCCACAGGACAAGCGCCACTACTGAGAAGGCCCTCTGCCTGGTTCCCTGTAACTTCACTTCTCGCAGTGAGGGAACCAGCAGAAGACTCTTGGAAGAGGACCTCATTGCCCATCTAGAAGCTCACTGGGTCTTGCTTTTGCTATAACCCTTTTTTCCCCCATCCTGGGTGCAAGTTCTGGACCAGCTAGTGGCAGGCAAGCTCCTGCTATCTCAGGTACAAAGCAGAAAATTGGAGAAAGTGGCAGAAAGTTCAGGTAGATGGATTTGGGAAACGTTCTCATGTGCAAGTTAGTCTGAACGGGTTGGAAATATTGGCTGCTATTCAGAGCCAGGTCTCTCTGTGTGTTTTGCCACCTCAGAAGAGGCAGGATAAGGGGGCCTTGCACAAGGCAGTATCCCAAGCCCCACTAATATCTTGCACAGGATTTTGAGATTCACGGTCAGTTTGCATGGGGAGCTGGCCGCTCCCGAAGCAGCAGAGAGCCTGGAGAGAATTGTGTCACCTCGTCCGCTTCCCGCTCTGATGGAAGTCGTCCTGTTGTTGCTCCGTTCCTAAGTGATTTGCACAAACACAATTAACTTTGTCCCAACAAGGATTACATAATAACAGCTTTTGTGCCGATTCTTTCCCAAGTAGCACACAGACAAGCTCTCCTTGCCAAGAAGCCGTTTCCAACTGGGCTGGCTGATTATCACAACCTGCTAAGGGTGGCGGATAACCCTCTGGCGTCATGCCAAGGGCTCTCCGTTGATTTCTATGGGACTTTCTCTGGCTTGAAATCAAAAGGGTTTTTAGATCAGCTGTTGTGCAGATCAGGGTGTAAATGGAAGAAGGGAGCAGGGGACCAGTGCTTGCAAGGACCACAGGTCATATGGGAAACTGGGACCCCCTCTGAGTCAAGGGTCTTTTCTGGAACTGTCAGTCAGTATTAGAAACTGTGCAGCAACGTAAAGGAAGCACAAATTTTCAGAGGGAACAAAGAGATGAACTCTGGACTCAGACAAAATTCCACTGTGCATCTTCCCTAAGGTGAAATTTTCTCTACTAGGTACAGTCATACCTCGGGTTACAGACGTTTCAGGTTGCATTTTTTTGGGTTGCGGACCACCGAAACCCAGAAGTACCGGAACGGGTTACTTCCAGGTTTTGGCGGTCGCGCATGTGCAGAAGCGCTAAATCGCTCTTTGCGCATTTGCAGACGAGCTGCTGTGGGTTGCGGACGTTGCGGGTTGTGAATGTGCATCCCGCACGGATCCCGTTTGCGACCCGAGCGTCCACTGTTTATATCTACACAGTGGTACCTTGGTTTAAGAACAGTCCGGGTTTAAGAACGATTCGGTTTACAAACTCTGCAAAACTGGAAATAGTGTCTGGTTTGAGAACTTTACCTTGGTCTACGAACGGAAGCCGAACAGTTGAAGGGCACCAGTGGCGGGAAGCCTTATTAGGGAAAGTGCGCCTCGGTTTATGAATGGTTTCGGTTTAAGAACAGACTTCCGGAACGGATTAAGTTTGTAAACCAAGGTATCACCGCATCTATATTGCGGTAGGGCATCACATGAACCCCAGTTAGAGTTTGCCATGCATGAGCAATGGGCACACAGAATTGCAGATTTGGAAGGGATCCCTGGGGATCATCAAGTCCAACCCCCTGCGACATGGAGCTTTGCCACCTGTGGGACAGCTAAAGCCGTGTAGGTCTCATGCATTTATTAATACACAAGGGATTTTCATGCCAGATCCTGGTTTTCTGCAAAAATGTCTCTGTTCATCATAACTATATTCCACCAGTTTGACTAAAAGAGGCCTCAAGGCTGCTCAGAATTTAAAATCAACGAAGTATTCAGGTGATATTGGAGGGGATTATAAAAAAGGGGGGAATAAATGTTTGCTCATCAGACACTAGTTGTAATGCTTCTCTTTGCTTTTTAGAACTATTCTCCCACTGTAGCAACATGGCATGATACCATACTGTGCTCTGACTTCATGACAACACCATGTAGCTGATCAGATGGCTACATGGTGATGTTGCAAAGACAGCTCAGAGCGATGGCACAAAACATTACCCTCGCTCTGATTTGGCTTCCCAAAAATACAACGTAATCAATCAGATTTGGCAGTGTAGTAAAGCCGCAGTGCTAAAGCAGAGGGAAGGCAATGTTTCCTGGCCTCACGAGGGAGTAGCTAAAAAGGAAAGGATGGCTTCAAGTAGCAACAGGGAGAGACATTGCCGCCACTGCCCGAACCGCAACCTGGTGGCACAGAATTGGCAAGCAAAGTGAACGGGAGTTTTTAGTAAAACCTTTTGACTCCCATGTGGCATAGCTCAGTTAGATACACTTCAAGGTCTAGCATTATTAAATGATTTTGCACCTTTCCTGCCACTTGCAAGCCTCCAACAGAATAAACAAGTTGGGCAGGCTTCCCTTGGAAGGGCGTTTCAACAAGCAAGGTGCCACCACGGAAAAAGCCCTGCTTCTAAGAGTCGGAGGAGGAAGCAATTTGAGGCGAAGCCTGTGATATGAGGATGGGCAGCACAGGTAATGGAACGGCCCCATTACCTTTTTGACACAGCAAAGTTGCTACAAGTTGATTTTGTCACAAGGTGAATATTTCACTTGTTTGCACCCGAGGAGACTCCCAGCGAAAGTGAAGCTTTGTCCCCAGATGGTTAATTGCACAAGGAGTTCTTGCTGTCCTGGTGGCCGAATGATCACTGTGGTCTGGGGACGTGCCTCAGCAAACAGTTTATGAAATGACCACCCAGATGCACATTTGAGTAAATAAAAAGCACATTTGGGCAGCATTCATAATCGCATGTGGATGCCATAAATCTTTGCGTTTCTGTCGCAGAGCATCTTAGCTCCCACACCAGCCTTGCTGTGCTCAGAATTAGCAAAATTCCATGAATACGAGCAAAGTTGGGAGATCCAATTCCTGGGTATTTTGCCAGGGACATTCAAGAAGTAAGCTCCAATTTTCAGTTCTATATCCAAGGCAAAACATGACATGGTGGGACTGCCACGTTTGTTTGTTCATGTCTGCCCTCTTGTTCCCTGGACTGAAATGGGTGGTGATGTCTTACGGGACATGGAAAGGGACGTTATCACTGGGGGGTGTCAAATCCTGCCATCACCCTCCACCCCCTTTCAGGCCGTTGTTATAATTTGTATAGGAAAGCATTATATATATATAAATAAATGCCGCCAGACTGAGAAAACCTTCTTTTGGTTGGTGTGTGTGTGTGACACTGCGTTAATGCAAATCCCTAAATTAGGGTAGCTTCCATAGGGCCCTTCAGACACTGTTGGACTACAACTCCCATAATCCCTGACCATTGGGCATGCTGGCTTGGGGCTGATGGGAGGTTGAGTCCAACAAGATCTGAAGGCCCAACACATTTTGGCCAACACCGAGAGATCTGTCTCACCCTATTCTTCTTCTTTTTAAAGTTTTAGACATCCAGGGAAAAACCTGTTTTATATGCCCAAGCTTTTAATTGAATAGTCATATCTGGTTGGTTTACTTATTTTGTGGCAGCTGGTTTTTGTCTACAACTTTACTTCTGCCCTTACTTATCTTAGTATTTCATGCTGTTTTAATTTTCGTGTTGGATTTAACAGTGGAGTGTTTTTATTATTACACTTGATGCTTTGGGAAACGCGCCTGTGTTGAAAAGTGGCCCGTGTGTTTTAGCAATAAATGAAGAGAAATGGAATAAAACTTGCCTCAGGTGACAGATTTTGGGCTCCACAGCTAGTGGCGAATGGCCAGCTTTATCATCTGTTCTTATTATTGCGGTGCTTCAGCATATGGAAAGCGCCATTTTGGCTTATCGTTTTGTTTACCTCAGAGGCCAAAATGTCTTCATCTAGCCCTGAAATTGGGGCACTTTCCTACATGGAGATAAAGTAGAGGGGAAACGACATTTAAAGATGGCGAAGGTGGAGTTTCCCACAATGCCTCTGGCACTGGGGCACTGTAATAAAATAAAATGGGACTTAGACCCATTTGCCTGGTGCTGTTTTCAGATGTTGCTGGATGCTTCCAGGTAAGTTTCTCAGGGAGGAGAGGACCCACCAAAGGCTACTTTTCCTACGGCTATCTCGAACTCAGAGCTGGCCCTGACCAGGAGCAAGAAAGAGGAAGGGGGCATTGCAAGATGAATCAAAGTGTGTTTCTGTATTCGTCTACTTTCTGTGATGCCAAAAAAACCTTTGCTTCCTGTCATCCATCATGCAGCTGCTCCCAGCATCCCAGAGAAGAGACCTGAGCCGCTGTTTGACAACTTTGAGTACTTTCAGGATAAGGAAGATGACTTACATAGGAATTACAATGACCGCGCCTACCTAAGTTCTGAGGATTTGGTCCGAGATGACAGCCGCATAGGTATGGTCTAGGTGGGGGTAGGGGGGTGGGGAGGGAACACAGAAACCAACTTTCTGATTTTCTTTCTTTCTTTTTAAAAAATAGCAGCCATGTATCTAGGCCTCATGTCTGCAGGTGTGTCTGAATGCAGCGGAAGCTGGTGCCCTAGGGCTAATGGGACACAGCCCTCCCAACAATAATGTCAAGCAAAAAAGAAAGAAAAGAAATTGCCCCCCAAATATCAAAGCCACATACCCCGTCCCACTTTTGCTTGAAGTCAGGGACACTCTGCAAACATTCGTATCAATCTACCATCCTATGGAAAATCAGGCCTTTGCAGCACTCAGCCAAAAAGCCATGTGGCAGATTGGACTGCACTTCAAGGCAGCCCCGCTATGAAGGCTTCTACTCCCATCTGTTGTTAGGAGGCTCACCAGCATCCATGGTATGGCCTTGTGGGGCTGATTTGGAGTCCAAACATGCTCAGAGCTGTTTCCTAGAGCCACGCCTAAAACTCAAAGCACCTTCTTTGTAGCTAGCCAGAAGGAGGGTGTGGTTGCTAGTTTGAGCAGCGTGTTTTTAATTACCGTATTTTTCGCTCTATAAGACGCACCAGACCACAAGAAGCACCTAGCTTTTGGAGGAGGAAAACAAGAAAAAAAATATTCTGAATCTCAGAAGCCAGAACAGCAAGAGGGATCACTGCGCAGTGAAAGCAGCAATCCCTCTTGCTGTTCTGGCTTCTGGGATAGCTGCGCAGCCTGCATTCGCTCCATAAGATGCACACACATTTCCCCTTACTTTTTAGGAGGGAAAAAGTGAGTCTTTTAGAGCAAAAAATACGGTATTATTAATGCTCCTTAAAAGGGAGAAATGGTGGAGAGAGTGTGCATCTTTCTATGCTATCCTTTTTAATTTTGCTTTATTTTGCAGTTTGTTTTTGTGAACTGGGGAGGAGGATCGGGAGAAGAAATGGTTCCCACATTTGTTTTGTTGGAACTGTAGGGCTTTTGTGTGTGTCTGGGTTTCAGAGAAGTATGGAGATTTTGCATTCCTTTTCCTGCCTCAAGGCTTTAAAAACGTTTTAGTTTGTTTGGCTATTGTGAGAAGTTGGACTAGAATGGCCTTTGGTCTTCTACAGTGGTGATTATACGATGTACTATTTAGACAAAGAATACCTGCGGAATCACCTCTTGCATGCAAAAGGAAGCTCCTCATTGGTGAGGCAGATGCACTCTGTGCATGCTTGTGCCATTTATTTCTATAGTTCCTAATCAGATCTCCTCTGATCGAGTCCGTGAGAGGAGACTTTGGCTTGCAAGGAAGAGCTGGTGGTGCTAACAGTTAAACCCTTATTCTGCTCATCCCAGGTCAGCTGAGTAGAATATTCTCTGCATGTTTTCCTTTTCACTATGCCAATTGTCTTCATACTTTTGAGCACGCCAGAGATTGTGGAGACACCACTTAAAAAGTTCTCTTCTCTGTCACTGGTTCATTTTGGGGTGTTGGGTATTCTGGTATCCTTTCAGTGAAAGGAGTAGCCAGCTAGCCATGACTTACAGCACAAATGAATCCATAATCAGGTAGCACTTCAGAATGTTTTCTTGCATAATTTTTTTAATGGATTGCCAAGACTGAAGTCTCTGATGAAGTGCACTGTAGCCTGAAAAAGCCTATGCCATAATGAATTTGCTAGTTCTTTAACATGCAAGTACTGTTCATTTTTCTTGTTTGGCTAAAGTTGCACTATGGTCTACCTTACAGGGTTGTTGTGAGGTTGAGAAGATTGCAAAAAACTTTGGCAAACTTAAAATCTGTTACAAAAATGCAGGATGGTGCAGGGGATGGTTTAAATGCAATATGGGATCATAGATTGCACCCTGTCTGTGCACCACACCCAGGCGAGCTGGTCCTACCCAGACAACGACACGCTGGATTTTCCAAGGACCTACATGCAAAGTCCAATGTCTGCAGGCCTTAATATCCTGATTGTGTACCAGATTCATTTTTCTTTGATTGCCCGGTTAGGCTTTTTCCATGATTCAAAAGCTGTAGGCAGGAGAGAGAGAGAGAGAAAATTAATTTTGCTTGTTCCTTATTTATCAGTGTTGCATGTATGACTAGTCCATCTTCCCTTCAAGGAGCTCACGATGGCATAATTCACGAGTCATGTTTTCTCCGTGTTATCCTAACAGCAACCCAGTGAGGCAGTGGTGGAGGAAGCCAGGGATAGGGCGAGCCACTCATAGGGGCGGTGCAAGCCGTTTATGGGGCAGGGCCTCCAGAATCTGCCTGCCTCCTCCCACTCAGCCGCCCTACAGCTGGGGGGGGGGGGAGGCAGCGGGCAGGCCGTTTGGGCAGCACGGAGCCTGTGCGCGCCCAAGCCACTGCTTCTTTACCAGGAGAGACGCATGGTTCGGATGTGCTGCAGGCCCCGCGGTGAATGCCGCCTGGCATTTTGTCACCCCCCTCAGTGGTGACACCCGGGGCAGCCCACACCCACCGCACCCCCCTTCCTCTGCCCCTGCTGTGAGGTAGGTTAGGTCGAGAGACTGGCCCGAGGTCACACAGTCAGCTTCATGGCTGATTTTTAACCCTATGCTCCCAAGTCAGAGTCCATTTAATAGCTCTCCACCTTACGTCACATTCTGGAAATGATATAGCATCCCTGTGGAATTCAGTGGAGCTTACTTCTGAGTAATGTACAGCTTCTTGGGCACAAACGTCCACACTACAAATTGTGACAACAGGGATTCCTTCTGAATCGGGATAAAGCACTTTTCTTTTCTTTTTGAAAATAATTTTTATTACTTTTCCAACAATTTAAACACTACAGAAACAATACAATACAATACAAAAACACTACATAACACTAACACATTAAACACATTAAACTAACAAAACAAAACAAAAACAGTTTACAACACATCAAACAATTTCAATATCTTATCTTTCATTCACTTATTTCAATGACCTCCTCACACCTCCCTTTTTGTATTCCACTTCTGTTAATTGTTTCAGCAATTCCTTTCCATCTTCCTCTGCTTTCTATCCTTTAATTATCTTAACAAATTCTAACCTTATTTTTCCCTTTAATACTCTATTAATCTATTTATACTTAATTCCTTATAACATTTCTACTAAAGCCATATAACTTCATTCCAACATTTTTCTAACATTCATTAATTTTACAGTATTTCTGTAAGTAGTCTTTAAACTTTTTCCAGTCTTCTTCCACCGACTCTTCTCCCTGTTCTCGGATTCTGCCAGTCATTTCCGCCAATTCCATATAGTCCATCAACTTCATCTGCCATTCTTCCCGGGTGGGTAAATCTTGTGTCTTCCAATACTTCACGATGAGTATTCTTGCTGCTGTTGTTGCATACATAAAAAAAATTCTATCCTTCTTTGGCACCAATTGGCCGACCATGCCCAGAAGAAAGGCCTCTGGTTTCTTCAGGAAGGTATATTTGAATACCTTTTTCATTTCATTATAAATCATCTCCCAGAATGTCTTTATCCTTGGGCATGTCCACCAAAGGTGAAAGAATGTACCTTCAGTCTCATTACATTTCCAACATTTCTTGTCGGGCAAATGGTAAATTTTTGCAAGCTTGACTGGTGTCATGTACCACCTATAAATCATTTTCATTAAATTTTCTCTTAGGGCATTACATGCCATAAATTTCATACCTGTGGTCCATAACTGTTCCCAGTCAGCCATCATTATGTTATGTCCAACATCTTGTGCCCATTTAATCATAGCTGATTTCACCATTTCATCCTGAGTGTTCCATTTCAACAGCAAGTTATACATTCTTGACAAATTCTTAATTTTTGGATCTAACAGTTCTGTTTCCAGTTTTGATTTTTCCACCTGGAAACCAACTTTTTTGTCCAGATTGTATGCCTCCATTATTTGATAATAATGGAGCTAATCTCGCACTCTGTTTTTCAATTTTTCAAAGCTCTGCAGTTTTAATCTGTCTCCATCTTGTTCCAGAATTTCCCAATATTTCGACCATTTGGCCTCCATATTGAGTTTTTTCTGTGCCTTCGCTTCCATTGGCGACAACCATCTTGGGGTTTTCTTTTCTAACAAATCCTTATATCTTATCCAGACATTAAACAATGCTTTTCTAACAATATGATTTTTAAACGCTTTATGTACTTTTACCTTATCGTACCACAAGTATGCATGCCAACCGAATACATTATTGAAACCTTCCAGATCCAACACATCAGTGCTTTCAAGAAGCAGCCATTCTCTCAGCCAGCAAAAAGCAGCTGATTCATAATAAAGTTTAAGGTCTGGCAGGGCAAATCCACCTCTTTCTTTGGCATCAGTTAGTATCTTAAATTTTATTTGAGGCTTCTTACCCTGCCAGACAAATCTGGAAATATCTTTCTGCCACTTCTTGAAACAGTCCATCTTATCCAAAATTTGCAATGTTTGAAACAAAAACAACATCCTTGGCAGCACATTCATTTTTATCACAGCAATTCGGCCTAACAATGATAACTTCAAATTTGTCCATATTTCTAAATCCTTTTTCACTTCAATCCAACATTTTTCATAATTATCCTTAAATAAATTCACATTTTTAGCGGTCATGTTAACCCCTAAATATTTCACTTTCTTAACCAATGTTAGTCCTGTCTCCTGCAGGATAAAGCACTTTTCAGTTCAGTTAGGTGCTGTTTGTAAAATTGCAATGCTCAGGTGTCCACAGAATATTTGCAAAGGAGGATGGGGAGGAAACCAGGACAGCTTGACCACACTCCTGTGACATCTCATTGGCCACACACTCATGACCTCCTGGCAGCTCTAGCTACCACCACCTGCATGACTGTGGGAAGCATTGGCTAAAATCTGGGAAGACGGAGGAGTGTGACTGAATCACATTTTTAGACGTTAGTGGTGGGCTTCACTGCCTTGCTTAGCAGCTTGCCCCTCCCATAACAGTGCAAGATTGAGATTTGGTTTCTGCAAATTAAAATTATGCAAACTTGCTCAGATTTTCCAGTTGATTCAGGTAGTAGAATCCAATTTTTGCTGTCACAGAATTTGGATAACCTGGATACTTTTTTTAAAAAAAAATTGTGACACTGATTCCATGCAACCCTCCTAATATCTTGAGCTGGTATGTGGTGCACCAGGCAGACACCCAAGTAGGGATGTGGGGAGAAAATCAATCCATTTGCATTTAAAGGCAAACTTCTCTATTTCTCACTTTCCAACATGGTACCCAAACTGAAACACAGCCACCCTTCAAAACTCACATTTCTCTGAATTTTGCAGTGTAGTTTCATTGGCAAAGGTTGCATTAAAATGCATATATTTGTGAAAACAACGTAGAAGAATGCATCATTTTAAGAATAATTGCATTGTAGAAAAATGTACGTTAGCCAAAACTGCATTAAAATGTGTATATTGCAATAAATTCACACAAGAATTCTGATGAATTTTCAGGAGAATATTTTTTTTCAGCACAAATTTGACATGGAAATACAAGAAGCAAATTTAAGATTGGAAAAATGAGAAACAGAGACAACCTAAAAGCAACAGATTTGCCCGTTCCTTTACCCCTGTTAAATGCAAACTCGGACCTTGGTAAATAAGGACTCAAGGTAGCTGCGGCAGAAGTACAGGAAGTGAGGGATTGGAATTTGGATATTTTGCAAGGCGCAATTTAGGCCTCCTTCAACCTTGCGTCATAAGAACACGTTGGGACCATCCCAATGATTCACTAGTCCAGCATCCTACTATAGCCCTCTCCTCCATGCATTTGTCCCATCCTCTTTTAAAGCCACCTAAGTCAGTGCCCGGGACGCAGGTGGCGCTGTGGGTTAAACCACAGAGCCTAGGACTTGCTGATCAGAAGGCTGGCAGTTCGAATCCCCATGACGGGGGGAGCTCCCGTTGTTCAGTCCCAGCTCCTGCCAACCTAGCAGTTCGAAAGCACGTCAAAGTGCAAGTAGATAAATAAGTACCGCTCCGGTGGGAAGGTAAACGGCGTTTCCATGCACTGCTCTGGTTCACCAGAAGCAGCTTAGTCATGTTGGCCACATGACCTGGAAGCTGTCTGCGAACAAACGCCGGCTCCCTTGGCCAATAGAGCGAGATGAGCGCCGCAACCCCAGAGTTGTCCGCAACTGGACCTAACGGTCAGGGGTGCCTTTACCTTTACCTTTAAGTCGGTGCCCACCACTTCTCTATTAAAGAGAATTTCTATGGATTTCTTCTACCACTGTGTCCATGTTAACTTCTACCCTGAAACATTCCCACCTCAGGCTTTGGAAATCTGCTAGAATGTCAAGTGAACAATACATTGTTAGCTCTGCTTGACATGTAACTCCCTATGCTGCTTTGTACTCAAAGACATTTTAACCGTTGTCTCCTGATAACAGTGTTGTGGGATTTGTTTGTGTAATTCAGCAACAAATCATCATCATCATCATCATCATCATCTAAGGGAGCCAGTGTGGTGTAGTGGTTAAGAGCGGTAGTCTCGTAATCTAGTGAACCAGGTTCGATTCCCCGCTCCTCCACATGCAGCTGCTGGGTGACCTTGGGCTAGTCACCCTTCTTTGAAGTCTCTCAGCCCCACTCACCTCACAGAGTGTTTGTTGTGGGGAGGAAGGGAAAGGAGAATGTTAGCCGCTTTGAGACTCCTTCGGGTAGTGATAAAGCGGGATATCAAATCCAAACTCTTCTTCTTCCTCCTCCTGAGGGAGGCAGTTCTGCAGATTAACAATGTGTTGCAGGAAGAAGTCTTTCCTTTGATATGTCTCGAATCTTCCAGCATTGCGCTTCATTGGCTGTCCATGAGTTCTACCATTTTGAGAGACCCAATTTTATACAGTTCTGTCATGCCTTCCGTTACTCGTTTTTCCCGCAATCCTCCAATGCTACAGCCTTTCCTCATCGGGAAGTTGCTCCTTTCCTTTGATTATTTGGGTTCCCCATTTCTGAACCTTGTCAGGTAGTTCACTCTTTGCAGCAGATAGATAGAGGGTGGTTTTGGAGGGGGGTTTGGGGGGGTGGCCATTACTGTTGTTTTTTGCAGAATGCTGAAGTTAATATAATAACAATAGAGGCTTTTTGGAGGACAGTAATAAATATGATTAATGGCATTTTCCAAATAAATATACAATTGGGACCAATGCTATCCTTATTGAATTATGTAAAATTCTTCCCCTAGCTAGACAGGACAGCGTCGCTTTTGTATATAATTAGAAATGCAATGATGTTATAATTGAGTAAACAAAGGGATTTTTTTTAAATTTAAGCAATCCTACTGCAGAACAGAATTAACTTTTGGAATCGGTTTATGTTTACAGCGTTTACACGGTTCCTTGCAAATATACATGGTGCTTTTGTAAGACGGGGACATGGGATCCAACACAGTAGAAATGAATCTAGCACTTGTGAATTTATAAAACCTACAAAGGACAGATCTGTAAAGTGAGTTTACTAGGTCAGTTTATAAATGTGGTTAGGAATAAATTTATCAGTTTTGAAAATGCAATCGCCGATGTTTAGAGTTTTAATACTTTCAGTATGAGTAAGCATGGTTTTTGTATGTGTGCATGTTTATGTCATCATTTCTTGAACTTGCGTTTAAAAAAAGATCCAGTGGAGGCATTAATCACATATAAATGTAGAACTGTAGACTTCGAAATATATATATCTCTAGTTCTTCAGGCTTCCTGGATCACTTGCAATGTATGCAGAATCACAGGCAGTTCGCTTTTGCTCCTCAGATTTTGTGTCCTTGCTAACCAGCGGCTCAGAGACCCAGACGCCCGTGTCCAGTGCAGTGGCAAAAGCCAGGTTCACCCTTGTGCGTTCTCACCTCCTCTTCTCAATCAACTATGAGAGGTGAGTGACACCCAGTCTGATGTTCAGGATGGGGAGAAGCATGTGGCAGAGGTGGACTTTGGTGATTTTGGGAAATGTGGTGCCCTGAGCGAGGCCAAAATTTGGCACCTCCAATTGTTCCATCTAGCAGTCGTACCTTGGATCCTGAACACCCTGGTACTTGTACGTTTTGGCTCCTGAACACCGCAAACCTGAAAGTGAATGTTCCGGCTTGCGAACGTTCTTTGGAACCTGAATGTCTGACGGGGCTTTTGACTGGTGCAGGAGCTTCCTGCAGTCAACCGGAAGACGTGCTTTGGTTTCCAAATGTTTTGGAAATCGAAAGGACTTCCAGAATGGATCCCGTTTGACTTCCAAGGTTTGACTGTATCTTTTACACTCAGTGGCAGCAGCTCTACAGGGTTTCAGAAGAGACCATTTCCAGCTTATTTGGCTGTGATTCACCCCTTGCGCACATGCACAAATTCACTTGCTGCAGCAATAAAATCGTGAGCACATTTATGCAGGTTCTGGTATGGTTTCAAGCTGGATGGGAGACTGAGATTACTGCATTGCAGGGGGTTCATAGAATCACAGAATTGGAAGGGACCCCAAGGGTCATCCAGTCCAACCCCCTGCAATGCAGGAATCTCATCTAGAGCATCCATGACAGATGGCCATCCAACCTCTGCTTAAAAACCTCCAAGGAAGGAGAGTCCGCCACCTCTTGTGGGAGTCTGCTCCACTGCTGAACAGCTCTTACAGTCAGAAAGTTTTTCTGAATGTTTAGTCGGAATATCCTTTCTTGTAACTTGAAGCCAGACTGGCTCACCAGAGTGGTGCATGCTCGAGTTATCTCCCGCTTGGACTACTGCAACGTGCTCTATGTGGGGCTACCTTTGAAGGTGACCCGGAAACTGCAATTAATCCAGAATGCGGCAGCTAACCTGGTGACTGGGATCGGCCGCCGGGACCACATAACACCAGTCCTGAGAGATCTCATTGGCTCCCAGTATGTTTCCGAGCACAATTCAAAGTGTTGGTGCTGACCTTTAAAGCCCTAAACGGGCTCGGTCCAGTATACCTGAAGGAGCGGCTCCACCCCCATCGTTCAGCCCAGACACTGGGATCCAGCGCCGAGGGTCTTCTGGCAGTTCCCTCATTGTGAGAAGTGAGGTTACAGGGAACCAGGCTGAGGGCCTTCTTGGTAGTGGCTCCTGTGCTGTGGAACGCCTTCCCTTTAGATGTAAAGGAAATAAGCAGCTATCTTATCTTTAAAAGACATCTGAAGGCAGCCCTGTTTAGGGAAGTTTTTAATATTTAATGATGTATTGTTTTTAACACTTGATTGGGAGCCGCCCAGGGTGGCTGGGGAAACTCAACCAGATGGGCGGGGTATGTATAAATAAATAAATAAATAAATAAATAAATAGTTTGGCAAGATGACCCTCAGGGTCCCTTCCAACTTGATAATTCTATGATTCCATAATGCCCAGGGTGAGACAATAGCACAGCAAGCCCTGCGCCTAAAACAGAAAAGGGGTGATGTAAAGCCCTTTCTTGGGGTTCACATACCAGCTGCCCTGCTCCCCATCTCTCTCTCCCCCCGGACTTCTCTGTTTCATTGGCTTCATAGCACATCTTGCTGACAGGCAGCTGGTGTTCCTCCGATATCATTACGAAACAGCTGAAGAGGCATGGGTGAATCCCAGCTTGGAATTTCTCTGTATCCGTCCCAGGCAGAAAGTCTCCTCCCCGTCACGGTGGTTATTATTTTTTATTAAAAACAAATTTTGGGGGGAAAGGCTCCAGTAAACAAGTTCAGCGTCCACATGTTGCCGAGGCCCCAGCTGCCTCTCCTTGCTTGCTCAAGGCTGGGGTCAGCAGGGGTCTTTCTGCCTTCTGCCTGGGGCTTGGCTCCGGGGAGCTGCAATCAATCAGTCTCTCCCGATTGTTAAATCCTCCTTCTGCCTGCTCCGGGAGAGAGCTGCGGCCAGCCTCTCTGCTGTGGTGGTCCCTCCTCTTTTTCCAGGCCGTTGCATAGCCAAGCGGTGACTAATTTCAAAATGCATCCACAAATCCCCAAAAAACGGCCTCAAAGGCTGTCGTTATTCCTTTTTAAGCAGGGCCAAGGAGAGTTGCATTTCTCAAGCTGCGTAAGGGAGAGAGGCTAGCCTCCGGAGGGGCACCATCTATCCTCCTGTTCATTGGCAAAAACCTGGGGGTCTGCAACTGTGGTTCCTTGCTTGCGGACGGCAAGCATAAATCTCCTTCTGGACATTGTATCTCAGTGATTCCTCTATAACTCGGTGGCAGAGGGTGTGCTTTCAATGCAGAAAGCCCACAGGCTAAGTCCCTGCAATCTTGGGGTGGCCTGGGGTGAACCACACAATTCAGATAGCAGTACTGAGAAAGACCTTCCTCTGCCTGAGACCCTGAGTAGCCTAGGGTGGCCGTGCAGGCTAGAGATGATGGGAGCTGGAAGGAATCCCCCAGGTCATCTAGTCCAACCCCTTGCAATGCAGGAATCACAGCTAACGAATCCCCTACAGATGGGCCATCTGAACTCCAAGGAAAGAGAGCCCACCACCTTCTTGAGACTCAGTAAAGCTGTCCCTGGGCCTTTCTGCATCCTTGGAAAAGTACAAAATGAAGAGATAACCAAATACGCAGTATGGCAATGCAGACTTTGAATGCTTGTAGACAGGGTGACGTTGCCACACTACCAGATGATAGCAGTAGCAGTCTGGGGACACTTTTAGCATGCACTGGGCTGCAAAATCCATTGGCATTTTGAAGGCTGTTTAAAGAAGCTAGCGGGGCGCTCTGGAGCTAAGTCAGGTTGGTGGCACCAGCCTAACCTATTCCTTCTGTTCAGTGTTTTCTGTTCTGGTTGCAACCTCAAACCCACAGCCTCTGCCTCTTCTTCTGCAGGCTGGGCCAGCCGAGCCGAGTCCGTTTCACAGACGCCGGTGGGACTGTCCTCTTTGAGCATCCTGTGCAAAAGGGCCCCTCCCCCCAGAATAACATGGTGAGTGACCCATGAGGTCATCGTCCCAATTATTCTACTCCCCTGTGGGCTTTGAAGCACTATGTTGCTGAAACAGCAAGGCATGTTGCTGTAGAGCAGCCTTTCTCAACCTGTGGGTCCCTAAGATGTTGTTGGACTACAACTGCCATCACCCCTAGCTAGCAAGGCTAGAGCTCAGGGATGATGGGAGTTGTAGTCCAACAACATCTGGGGACCCACAGGTTGAGAACCACTGCTGTAGAGGGAAGTGAGGGGCAGGTGAGGCTCGTCCACCTGGGAAGGCAGCCCATCTAGGAGAAGGAAAACTCTCATCCTAAACATCTGCTGCCTCGTGGGATATCTTCGGGAGAAGAAAAGGCTCAAGAGTAAACCCTACACAAATCCAGAGTGGAGTCTCTAAGACGGTTGGAAGGTGCCTTGTATACTTCCTTCTGGCAATTCCTGCAGCCATGTTGGTGCCAATAGCTTTGCTCTGCCTCCCTTTGGACCACATCAGTGAGGCCAAGAGGGGGGGTCTTGTCATCTGGGTAGCCCAGGACCTCCATATGCACTATGCCCTGGGGAGGTGAACTCCATTCTCTCTCAAGACAGATGCCAACAATTGGCCATGCTGGATATGCGCCCGGTCCTCTGGATTTGCACTCTTTCCAATAGCCTGATAAATTGGCCTGTTTCTTTCTGCCCCTCTCTCTGGACACTGTCTTCACAGATCTGCGGCGTCTGGCGAAACCTGCAAAAGTCTTTGACGCGGCTGTTGAAGGTTGACCAGCTGCACATTTCCCTGGTCACCAAGTCGCACCCTGAGGGCGAGATACGAGGCAAAATCATCAAGCACCGGGCTCTCCTAGCAGGTAATCTGTGATCTGAGAGTTTTACCTTTGAGTACAGATTGCTGTTTTCTATTCTTTTTAGCGTCACAAAGCAAACATACAATAAATTAGTAAGAGAAAGAAATGGTGATATACCAAGGTATATCAAGACATCCTAATTTCCCCAGCTGGTGTGGATGTTGTGTGTTGAGCATCTAAGTCCGAAGCAGAGGAAATAAAATCCCACCAGATGACGTAAAAGCATTCTGGATCCTCCACCCCCCTGGAAACATGCAGTTTATGTGTAATATTTTCCGTCGAGTGCAGATTTCTGTCATTGTCAGCCCTGCAAATACACTCAGAGCTCTAACTCAAAAGTTACTGCTCATGATTCAATTTAAAATGCCTGTTGTCTTCCTGATCTAGGATATTTGAAGATCCTGGCCTGTCTGCTTGGTCAGCCTAAACAGTGGTTGTCCTGGACTGTATGTGGGTGCATGCCTTTTCTTTTGGAGTTTATCCCTGGTTTTACCGTCAGGCCCATTGCTAGAAGTTTTGCAATGAGGCAACCTAAGTTAGCAGATAATCATTGCAGAATGTACGTACAGCTGCCTGAATCACTCCTGACATGGCAGAGTTAGAGTGTCAGTCTGGAGAGAATTGGGATTGAATCCCTCCTCAATGTGTGAAGCCCAGCCACCTCCTCTCAGCCTAACCCAGGGTTGTTGTAGGAAGAGATGGGGTCATCCCAGGCTGTATACTCCACCCCAAGCTCCTTGGAGCAAGGATGAAACAGAAACGTGAGGAGCAATGATAATATCTTTAGTGATATTTAACTGCATTGCTCCTTGGAAAAATAAGTGAGATGCAAATGCAATAAATGAACAAAGAATAAAATCACTGGGTTATTCAAACTGGAGACGCTGGAGCCACACTCTAAATCCAGCTGGTTCCTATCGGCTGCCTTTGTCCAGAGGTCTCCTTGAGGGACCTTGATTCCTGAGAATTCCTTGCCTGTAGTCGGGTGTTTCTCCCAATGGGTTGGGTTTTTCTCTGGCATTTCAGATGCCGTTTCCTCCTAAGGCTCAGAACTTTTTTAGCCTCACCACCAGAGGCCTCACCTAAGGATCCTGGCTTCTCACCTCCAGACTGGGCCTGATCTGGGGCTCAGTGTAATGCTGGAACCTCCAGGTCAACCTCTGATGGGGAACCCTGCTGGCTGAGACATAACACCACCCAGATGAGCCATTGCGTCCTGCTGGGGACATTCATGGCTCCAGCTGAGCCCTTGCCAGAGCTTCAGTGTGTCTTGCACTTCTGGTCTTTCTTGGGTCCTGTTCTCCTGGCTTGTTCTCCAGTTCTGCATTGCCCACCGAGGCTAGTTGTTCTTTGGTCTGGTCTCCTGACCTGTTCCTCAGTACAGTCATACCTCGGGTTACAGCCGCTTCAGGTTGCGTTTTTTCTGGTTGCGGACCGCCAAAACCTGGAAGTACCAGAACGGGTTACTTCCAGGATTCGGCGGTCGTGCATGCGCAGAAGCGCCGAATCACAGCCCGCGCATGCGCAGACGCGGGTTGCAAACACTGCGGGTTGCAAACGTGCATCCCGCACGGATCACATTCACAACCTGAGCGTCCACTGTACTGGTTCATCCTTGTCTCCCACTTTGCTCACCAGTTTTGACATCTGGCCCATCTCTCAGCTCCTGGTTCTCACAATGTGACTCCTTTCAAACTGCCGCCCGAGTCCCAAACCTGACAAGACCCTTGGCCCATCCTGTCCAGTAGTCTGGCAGCCCTGGCTGCTCGTACAACAGGGAAGGGCAGTAGGTCAGTGGCAGAGCATCTGCCTTGCATGCAGAAGGTCCCAGGTTCAACCCCCAGCTTCCCCAAGTAGGGCTGGGAGAGACCCCTGCCTGAAACCCTGGAGAACAGCTGTTGGTCATTGAAGATAGTACTGGCTAGATAGAGCATAGAGCAGGATCCTTTGCTCCTGTGCACAAGTCTGCCTCTGACCCCCTGCACTCTCAGGAGTCAGGAGCAAGCCAGCAATAACTCACACAGTGTCAGTGAAGTTAACTCTTTACTCAAAGAAGCAAGACAGCTCAGGAGGCCAGGCCTAGTGAGCACAGCAACTCATCTCAGTAGATCTTGGCCCTATGAGGCTGAGGACTGAACCTTCCCACAGTTCTCCAAGTCTCCTCCTCCCCCAGGTCCTTCCCAAGCAATCTGAGACTTCATCGCCTTGTCTGCCTTTGCTCTGTCCTCTTCATACCTCTTCTGGCTCTGGGAGACCAGGGAAGAGGGGAGCTGGTCACAGCAGGAGGGGAAGACCCCTTGGCTTCTTCAGCAACCTGCCTCATCTCTGCCTCTTGACACCCCCTCTCCACCTCTCCAGCCTCTGCTTCTGCTTCTGGACTGCTCTCTGCCACAGAGTCTCCCTGCTCACTAAACCCTGTCACCTCTTCAACTTCCAACACCTCCTCCTCCCAGGACCACTCATTGTCATCCTACCACTCCCCAGGCTCTGCAACCTTCTTCCCTTTGGGGGTTCCCCAGCTGGTGTCTCCCACCAATCCATGACAAGCACTGTGCTCTTGCTTTCCTCTCCATTTCAGAAACATTCAGTGCTATCCTGACATCCGTCGACGCAACCCACCTTGGCATGGGGGGCATTGCTATGCTCACCCTGAGTGACGCGGAGAACAACCTGCATTTTGTCCTTGTCACCAAAGGGCTACTGGAGCCGGTGGAGAAAAGTGAGCAAGGGGCAGAAGTTCAGGGGGTTGTGGGGCAGATGCAGTCAGGTGCCTGAGCTTGGCCCAGCCAGGGGAGATGAACAGACAAGACGGGTCTGATGGGTAAAAGCTGGGCTTGTGTCAGAGAGAAGTGAGTTCAACTCCCACAACAGCCAGGGACTAAATTATATCTCCTTCTGGGCGTTACAAACTGTTGACCTCAGTTCCTTGTCTCTGAAACAATAGCAATTCATGTTTGTCGAACCTTGATGAAGATTAGGGCTGGTTCTGTGTTTGAGGGTGCCTGGACAAAGTGCCCTCAGTAAGGGGCCCTAGTGTGCTGCCTTCCCCACCCAGTTGGCCCTACAGAGGACTTACAGTGGCCCTCTGTGGGCCCCAGCAGCAGGCTAGGACCTCTCACCATCTGGGGAGGTCAATCAGTCAATTTATTGTGCATAGCCAAAGGCCTTTACAATGTACAGCAGAGGGCAAGGCAAGGTTTTCCTCTGAAATCGCACAACATACAGTGGTGCCTCGCAAGACGAAATTAATCCGTTCCGCAAGTCTCTTCGTCTTGCGGTTTTTTCGTCTTGCGAAGCACGGCTATTAGCAGCTTAGCGGCTATTAATGGCTCAGCGGCTTTAAGAAAAAGGAAACAAACTCGCAAGAACTCGCAAGACGTTTCGTCTTGCGAAGCAAGCCCATAGGGAAATTCGTCTTGCGGAACGACTCAAAAAACGGAAAACTCTTTCGTCTAGCGAGTTTTTCGTCTTGCGAGGCATTTGTCTTGCGGGGCACCACTGTACCCTATAAAAAGTTCACAGCATAAAAATTTAAAATTAGAGAGCATTGATATATCCAGAATGGAGTTTCTTAGCTGCCAGAGCAAATTTGGCTATCAGGTGTATAATCTGTAGATCTTTACCAGCTAGGAGCTCGACTGTCACCTCCTGGGGGGGATCGGCCTGAGAGGCAAGTCAAGAGCAGGTGACAAAAAAAATTCGCTGGGCAGTGAATATAAGGGCAAAGCAGCAGGTAATGCATGACACCCTCAACCTGATTGCATCCATAATTGCACCTGCGTTCCTTCTGGGGAGGTGTGAAGGGGGACCCAACAGTGCAGACAGAAGCACTGGGGCCAGACCTTCCTCCCACCTCCAGTGCATAGTTGTGCCATTGCATCCCTGGGAGAAGAAACGCTGTGATGGGGCAAGTCTAGCTTCATGTACCTGGCACTCCACTCTGCACCAGGTAAATAAAATGGAGGCCCTAGTGAAGCCCACTTCGGCCAGGGAGGGTCTTGAGTGTCCACTGCTGGCTGGACAACCTGTCCTTGAACCCCAATCATGCCTCTTGAACCCTGATAATGCCTCTTGATTGCCTGGCTGGAAGATAGAGAGGGAGGTACAAATGTCTGTAGAAACAAGCCTGTTTTGGCAAAGGTACCATTTACATCCTTTGCCTCTCCCCACTAAGGGCATGTGGCCCCTGGAAAGTTGACCATGGGAGAATTTGGCCCTTGGTTTTAAAAAGGTTCCCCACCCTCGCTGACCTAGTGGGGCAAGGAAACAGGAGTGGGGGTGATGCTGGTCCACAGCGCTGCAAAGAGCGGCATTGACGTGTTTTGCCTCTTCCTTCTTCCTTCCCAGAATCCTCCTGGCTCCCCCTGAGGGTGCAGATCCTTCACCAGGACAGGGTCCTGAGGGAGGTGCTGGCCAATGTCTCCTGGCAGGTAAAAGCCGCTGTATCTGATCTCTGAGCCAAACTGCTTGCTGCTTCCTCCTTTGCAGGCGTTACTTAACGGTGTTCCTCCTCCTCCTCCTCCACTTCCCCCTTCCTCTCATTTTGCCACATCAGGACCCCGACTTTGCAGAGGTGCTGTCTGGACTGGCGGCTCGAGAAATGCTGTGGCTGGCGCAAGGGCAGCTGGAGATCGTCGCAGAGGTGGAGGGCAGGTTTCGCCGTAAAATTGCTGGCCGGATCACTACCAGAAAAAGCTGTGACAGTGAGTTTGAAGGAGGAGGATGGGCAGAAAACATCGCCCGTTGGACTTCTGCCTGCTGCACAGCTGCCCATGCAGCTGAATACAGCACAGGCTCTGGTTGCTGTTGATGGCTTCCACATGTAGATTTGGCTCGCACCGGCCCTGCCAGCTCTGTAGCCTTACTGCACCCTCTTCTTCTTCTTCGCAATGTGGTGTAGTGGTTAAGAGCGGTAGTCTCATAATCTGATGAACCGGGTTCGCTTCCCCGCTCTTCCACATGCAGCTGCTGGGTGACCTTGGGCTAGTCACACTTCTCTGAAGTCTCTCAGCCTCACTCACCTCACAGATTGTTTGTTGTGGGGGAGGAAGGGAAAGGAAAATGTTAGCCGCTTTGAGACTCCTTCGGGTAGTGATAAAATGGGATATCAAATCCAAATTCCTCCTCCTCTTCTTCTTGCCCCCAGCCATCCAGAGTGTGCTCTGTGGAGGAGACGCCTTGATGCCCACCCAGACGGGGGCTGTGGGCTCTGCCAAGCTCACACTGCATGAGAACGGGACTTTGGAGTATCAGGTAGGAAGAAACGTCTGGTGGTATTGCACGAGGCTGGAGCAAACAACATTGATACATGTCTGTCTCTGTGTGCGCACACACTGATGCATGCCTGATGCCAGAGCCTGGCAAAACAAGGTACCTGCAGACCCCAGATCAGTTGAGGGGCCATCTCTATGACAGCCACGCTGCCATCTCGGTTCTTCCTTGTTGCAGAAACTGACTTTGCCAGAAGTAGCCTCTGAACTGACATAACCCCATATAGTGTATGTCCCAGAATAAAAAAACACCAGGTCGTTCCCACCTTCCTCTGCCACACCAGTGATTTCAAGTTCCCCCAACCAGTTCACATCAGGTTGGCCAGGAACTAAACCAAGCATCTTTACTCACCCACTGTTCCAAAAACCGATGCATCTTCATTTATTTTCTAGCCAGTGTGGTGTCGTGGTTAAGAGCTGTAGACTCGTAATCTGGTGAACTGGGTTTGCGTCTCCGCTCCTCCACATGCAGCTGCTGGGTGACCTTGGGCTAGTCACCCTTCTCTGAAGTCTATCAGCCTCACTCACCTCACAGAGTGTTTGTTGTTGGGGAGGAAGGGAAAGGAGAATGTTAGCCGCTTTGAGACTCCTTCGGGTAGTGATAAAGCGGGATATCAAATCCAAATTCCTCTTCTTCTTCTTCTTCTTCTTCTTCTTCTTCTTCTTCTTCTTCTTCTTCTTCTTCTTCTTCTTCTAGTGAACCCAAATTTTGTAGGAATGCATTTAGGCACTAGGACATGATATTACTAAATAATATGTCAAGTGAAGGCCACACCTAAGGAAATTGTGTAAGGAAGGACACATAGATTGAATCATTGGGTTTTGCAGGTCTGGTTGGAGAGTCTTGTCTCCTTTCCACAAATCTGTGAGCCCCCAAACTCTCCCTTTTCCTTCTTCCTCCCACCCCAACAATGTGCTCCTTTTCAGAAAATCACATTTCCTAGAAACTTTTTGTTTGTGTTGGGGAGGGAGAATTCCTCTCCTTCCCCTCTCCCTTCTTGCCCAGCCTTGCCAGGCTAGTAATCCATCTTGGATTAAAATCGGAGCGTCAAAACAGTTTGGGCATCCTCCTGCTCATCTCGCCTTTGATGCAAACATTATAAATCCCCAGGCTAATAAGAGGGGTGGGAGGGAGAAGGGTCGGGGTGTGAGCTTCAGGAGTAAGTGGGTGGGGGAAGGAAAAGGAGGGAGGGAGCAGAGTTTGAGCTGCCTGGCTGGGAAAGAAGGCGCAGGAGGGGGAATTCTTTTACAGTTTGGATTAGAATCCAAGCTGCAAGATGATGTTAATACTTGCTGTTTATTTAAAGCCAACATTACAAGCCCCTTGAGACTCATTCTTCCAAGCCTTGAAAGAGACGTGTCTGTGGCGTCACAGCTCCCCATGTTTCTCCTCCTTCCAGGCACTGATGGGGTCTTCTTAGGCTATGGCTTATTTCTTTATTTATTAAATTTCTGCCCTGCTGTCCCTCCCAAAAAGCAGAAAACCACTGCAATTTTAAAAAAACCATTAGGAACATCTGAAAACAATTAAAAAGGGTGTGGCATGCCACATTGCTGTGGCAGGAGAGGATGACAAGTGTGGTGGGGAAGATTCAAGAACAATCAGATAAACATTGAAACATTTCACACCTCTCGCTGAGTTAGTGTACATACTTAAGGTACATATGTAAGAGGCTTGTTTATATTTTGGGAATGATTCATGTTCTTCTGTAGCTGCGTTGTTTTATACTTTCTGGACAGCCCTAGATCATATTATAAAGCACTTGTGCTCTGTATTATAAATCAAGCACTGCTAGGACTTTTTTCTTTTTGTTTTCCAATGTATTTCTTACCAATAAAAAAACCAGTGTGGTGCAAGCAAATTCTTATTCTGAAAGTGTGGCTCAGGGAAAAAAGTTTGCGAATCTCTGATATAAACAGTCACATACCCCCGCAGCTAATGATTTCAAGGTTGCCATCAATGGTGTATTTCAGCTAACCAATGCCTGGGTGAGCAGGAATGTTTGTAGATGCCTCGTGAATGTTAATAATGAGGGTGGCAGGGAGCCACCACCGAGAAGGACCTGCCGTCACCAACTGGGCAGCAGCAGGGACAGCACCACCAACAGGGCCTCTGCTGCCATTTGTAGATGGTTAATATTGGGGGTAGCACTCTTTGCGGTATTTGGGCCCCAAGACATTCAGGGCTTTGTACACTAGTACTAACACCTTGATTTGAACTTGGCAACTTGCTGATGGCTAGTGTAGCACTTTCTGGACCAGTCTAGCAAGTTGCAGTCCACACTACTTGCAGCCTCCAGACCATCTTACGTTTTCCTGCATTGTATGGAATTGGACTCTTCAATTCTATGGTTCTAAGTCTCCTGTGAAGATCTAGTCGCTTCTTCTGGGCTGTGCTCTCATCCCGCAGGTCCAGGTGGCAGGAACAAGAAGCGAAGTGATCGGCGTCACGCTAGAGACCAAACCTCGCAGAAGGAATAAGCGCAACATCGTGTACGACATGACACCCAGCTACGAGGACGGAATGGTGAGGGTTTGTGTGGATCAGAGAGAGATGCAGAAGGTTCTAGAGCAGTGGTTCTCAAACTGGGTGGTACCACCACCTAGCAGGCAGTGGGATTCCCTGGGGGCAGAGGGTGCTGGCCATGAAAATCTAGCATCACTGGATTAAGTTCACCCATTGGGTTGAATTAATCCAACTAAATAGCTGGGACTGCTGAATCGGCAGAGCAGGAGACTCTTGATCTCAGAGTCGCGGGTTCGAGCTCCACGTTGGACAGAAGATTCCTGCATTGCAGGGGGTTGGACTGGATGACCCTCGTGGTCCCTCCAACTCTACAATACAATACTATGATTCTATCTGGATTTTGAACAAATTTGCAATTAATTGTTCCTGCTTTGAATTTTCTTGAATTATTATCTTCCTTAGTGGGTCGTGCAATTCTGAATAATGCTTTTTTTAGGGCAGGGGGCACTGGGGAAGGGTTTGTGGAACCAAGAGAACAGTGTTCCAAAAAAGCTTAGGAGCCACTGCTCTAGAGAAATTGGTGGTTGAGCCACTTTCCACTACAGTCGAGCCTTGGAAGTCGAACGGCTTAGTTCCCAAACATTTTGGCTCCCAAACATTGCAACCCCAGAAGTGACTTTTCCGGTTTGTAAACTATTTTTGGAAGCCGAACTTCCGACGGGGCTTCCGTGGCTTCCGATTGGCTGTAGGAGCTTACTGAAGCCAATCAGAAGCCGTGCTTTGGTTTCCGAACATTTTGGAAGTCGAACGGATTTCCGGAATGGATTATGTTCAACTTCCAAGGTACGACTGTATGTGTTAGCTTTTTGCCCTTAGTTGCTTATTGTGAAGGCCTTTGGCTATACAGTAAATTGAATTGGGTATAATGTGTTTGCCATCATTGGTGACTTCAGATGTAAAATATATATTCCAAATTGGAGCAAATGGCAAATTCTGTGCACGGGTCATGATTGACCATGTTTCACCATTCTGTGTGTCTCTGTGTGTTTTTATTTCCTCTTGAACCATGCACCTTTGTTCAGGCCAGCGGGACCTGGGAGCAAGCAAATGGGCGTGATGTCCACATGTTGTTGCAGAACGAGCTCTTCCTGAATGTGGCCACCAGGGATTTTGAAGAAGGGGAGCTGCGTGGGCAGATCAGCAGCCTCCTGTATGGTGGACTGCCAGCACGGCATGAAGGTACCAGTGTGGAGAGAATGTGTGTGTGAGGAGCTGAGCCGCCCACCAGGCCTGCTGACTAGTTGGGCTAGAACAACAGAGTCTTTGCCTAGTCCTTTTAGTTCTTGGATTAGGCAGAAGCCTATGACCAAACCAAGAGAAGGCAAGGATGGTGGTAGGTGCCAGAGACTGGAGTTCAACATCTGGAGGAACACAGGGTCTGGAAACCAAGCCTTATAAGGAACGGTTGAGGCAGTTGGGTGTGTTTAGACTGGAGAAGAGGACATCTTCAACTATCTGAAGGGCTGTCACTTGGAAGGTGGAGCAAGCTTGCTTTCTCTTGCTCCAAAGGGGAGGACCCAAACCAATGGCTCCTACTATACATTAGGAAGACCACCTGAATGAAGCTTGCAGACCACTGGTGGTCCACGGACCACAGTTTGGGAACCCCTCCATAGACAGAGGCAGGCAAGTGCTGCCCACTGTTGGCTTAAATGTTCTGCATGAATTCAAAGCCCAGCCAAGTTTGGGATCCAAACATGCTGAATTTTCAGGTTTGGAAAATGCAGTTTAGAGGGGAAGAACTGTTTGATCTGCAGCCAGACAAATAGGCTGTTAAGTGTGAGCTACAGCTCTCGTGTCCCCAAGCCCTCCAACACCCCCATGCCTTGCTGCCCACCTTAGAGTTGCCAGGTGACAATGTGGCAGTGACAGTAGGCGCCACAGCTGGCAGAGTCCCCCTTCCATGCAACTGTAAAAAGGTAAAGCAGCCCTGTCAGAATCAAGACTTTGCTCCCTGACTCTCAGTCCCCAGCCTTTGCCTGCCCACTTCCACCCACCTCACAACAACTCACAGTCCCTCCTGGGGTTAGGACCAGGCTCACTTTGTTCTTGGCTTCTCCCTTTCCATCCCCGCCCCCCAGAACATGCCTTCACCACTTCCCCCCTCAAATTCCTCCTTTTCACCAGAATGCCTATTCAGCCCTGTCTCGTCAACCATCCTTCTTAACACGGCTGTCTCCCACTTTGGGTTCTGTGTGAGGTTTGAATCCCAGCCAAACTGCTGATTCCTCTTTTCCTCGCACAAATTGGACTGCAGACTTTCTGACTACTCTGCACCTCTCTGGCCCTCCATTGGAATGTTGAGTTTTGTTAACATTCCGCAGCATCACCCTGACTCAGCCAATTGGTTTTAGTCCCTTTGCGGACATTATCTTGCCAAATTCAGATTTTGAAAAATTCCTCTAAAGCCCAAGATGACACAAGAAGCTTGTGATGCCTTAAAAACCAAAAAGTCTATTAAGATGCATTTGGCATGTGGCAGTGGACCAGCCCCTGAGCGTGTAACCCTTGGCTTTTGTGTTACAGAGCTTCCTGTCCCACTGGCCGGCCAATTTGTGTCCCCTCCTGTGCGCACTGGATCTGCTGGGCATGCCTGGGTATCCCTGGACGACCACTGCCACCTGCACTACGAGATCATAGTTGCTGGCCTTGGCAAGGCGGACGACGGCACCGTCAGCGCTCACCTCCACGGCTTTGCGGAGCTGGGCGAGCTTCGGGAGAGCAGTCTGCGGGAGCACAAGCGACTGTTGCGGGGCTTCTATGGCACAGAGGTAAGGGGAAGGGCGGTCGCTCAGGGGTGCATTGCATGCAGAAGCCCCCAGGCTCAGTCCCTGGCACCTCCAGGTACGCTGCGTTAGCAGCACAGAAGCGAGCTCCCTGGGCGTGCAAGCCTTGGCAGTGTGTCTGGAGGTCCTGGGCTGCCCAGGCGACAAGACCCCCTCCTTGGCCTTGCTGATGTGGTCCAAAGGAAAGCAGAGCAAGACATTTGGCATCAGGCTGCAGGAGTTGCCAGAAAGAGGCATGCCAGGCACCATCCAACTGTCTTAGGGACTCCTCTCCCGATTTGTACAGCGTTGGCTCCTAAGCCTTTTCTTCTTCCAAAGATGTTGCCTGAGCTAGTTTGGCCTCTTCCCTTTTTTGCGTGCCATGATATTCTTCTTGGGAGGCAAAGGGCATAGTTGTCAACTTTCAGATTTGAAAATAAGGGATCAGCAGCCTCACCTGTCCCGGGGACAGTCTACGGGATATCTAACAATCCAGGATAGCAGCGGTAAATGGCGCTTCAATAAAGGAATTTCCCGTAAAAAAAGGGAAAGTTGACAGCTATGGCAAAGGGTGCATTCTTCCAAAGGTCCTTAGCTGCCTGGCCAGTGACAGAGGCTAGAGTTTGCCTGCCTGTATGTGGACACAAAACTAGCCCAAGGGGAGTGGCAAGAAGGGGCCTAAGAGACTAGGATTGGGACCGATGCCTTTGCCTGATGGGGTTCTCCTTCTCACCTAGGCTCAAGGAGTAGTGAAAGACCTGGATGAGGAGCTCCTCCGCCATTTGGCTCAAGGCACAGCCTTCCTGCAAGTCAGCACTAAAGCGAACCCACGAGGGGAGATGCGGGGCAAGGTCAGTCATGGTCACTCTGCTGTTTCTCTCGGGATTTTCTTGGGTTCCTCCAGACAACCTCTTTCTTGAGCATTTATCCTGGTTTGCTTGCACAAAGCTTATGCGGAGGTTAAACTATGTCCTCCCTTTACTGCAGAGTTGCTCTGTTTTTCTTTTGCAGGGAGGTTACACAATAATAAGCCTCCATCCTGAATTCATCCTGATCTTCTTGTGCAGTGGTTCCACAATTACCCATTAAATCATACACTTTTCAATGCATCTGCCTATAGGCTCTGCTTTTCCAGAGATCATGCAAGCCTTTGAGCATGTGAGGAGTGCTTTTTCTACTCTACTAAGTTCTGCCTCACAAGCAGCCTCCAACAACATTTGGAATTAGAGAAGCTTTCAAAATCAAATGGTCTCATTTCCAGGGAGGCCCGAGTCTCACTGCCCATTACAAATTAGCCACTGCAGGTACACAGAAGCATACCAACTGTTTTTGCATCCTCAAGTTGTCACATGCGCAACAAGTTGATATCACTGGGGTGCCGCAAGAATTGCTGAGATTATGTATGCGGATCATTTTGCACATTTAGAATGCACTACAAAAATACTCTAGCAGAACAAAATACTCTCATCTTTCCTCGTATGCTGACCTTTGTACAACTGTTCAGTGTTTGTAGTGGTTAAAACCTCAGGCCCAAACCTCTCCCCAGACTCCGTCGCTGCAGACAGTTTTCTCTTCAGCTTGGCTCCTTTCCAGTATCAGAGCCAAGCTGAGGTAAAAAAGGGGGATGGGAAGAGGGAGGGTTTGGCTTCTCTCACTCTTGCTGTCAGTAATAATAATTTTAATGGGAAATTGGTATCACATTTGATATAATTTGGCATTGATTTGTTAAAAAATTGAAAAACTAATAAATATCATTTGGCAGCAACAACAATAATTTTTAAAGAGCCGACCGTTCCTTTGTATATGAATGTCTGCACCCTTGAATGGCAAACATGGCTGCCCCTGTTTCACCCTCAAACATAACACCTGGGGAGCTGTGAACTATCCCCAGAGTCCTTTAACTCTCCACAAAAATTGCTTAGAGGTTTGTGCCTACCAGGAACCTCCAAATTGCCTCAGGTTTTTCTTCAGGTAGGTTCATAGAGATGTGAGGCGTGCACCTGAAAACCTTGTCAAAGTGCTTTTAGTTCTGAAACATGAAATACCTCAGGAACTCCAAATCGGCCCAAATTCAGCGGCATCTTGAGGCAAAGCAGGTTATTGTTTCTCATTTCAGTTTTTATAAACTGTTCTCTGCTTTCTCCAAAGATGGCAACTGCCCATGTAATTTTTTTCTCCCGCGGGAGAGTGAGAGCAGATACTCGCATTTTTGTGAAGTTGTAGCAGCAGGGTGGGGCTGGTCGATCCTGTCACAAAATGGCGCCAGCCGAACCTTTCTTATCTATGTGTAGTGCTATAAATAAAGTAGAAGATCATTTGCCTGACCTGATCCACTTGAGGCTGAGCTGAATTTGCGGATATTCCTTGCCAGGATAGATTCTTGAAACTCTCCCTCCCTCCCAAGGACATTTTGGATAATGGTTTGAAAGACCAGAGCTGCAGAAGGCCTTGTAAACTGACAGTGGCTGAGGTCACACAGAGAGAGAGTTTCCAAAATTATTCTCTGTCCCTTAGCTGGTGGAGAAATTTAGAAGTGTGGCTAGGTGCCAGACCCTGATGCTTGCCAAGATCTTAAATTCTACACTTAACATAAGGATTTTTGCATTCTTAGCAACTGCTCGCTGCAGGGTTTCTTCTCTGAAAGAGGCTTGCTGCTTTCAACTCCAGCGTGGCAGGCAGAAATTCAGCAGGTGAAGCTTTTCTTGACCTGGCAGTGAAATGATGGAGAATGTTGATCTTGCTGAAATGGTGATCTTGGTTGATCTTGCTGAAACCCGGTGTGCAAGTACTCCTGGTACCGTACATGAAAATGTAAACAGGTCTCAACCCGGTTTTACATTTGTTGTGTGACCCTGGTGGTGAAGTCAGCTGCATTGCCAGGAAGACCTTGCCACCATCGCTTCCCTTCACTGTGGTGTGAAGGCAGGGCTGAACTGACCTGCAGTTACTTACCAGCCGTTTTTCAGTGCTAACTCCCCTGATGCCTTCACCGGGGAAATTGGTTAGGGAGATGTTTGACAGACTCTCATCTGCCTCAGCTTGCCTCTTCTGGGCCGGTGGCCAGCATTGATGATGGATTCCCAGAAGCCATGCTTGGCTGGGAGCCTGCTGGCTGTTTTGGTGTCAGGAACATGTACTTCCTTCTGAGCCTTGCTGGGGCTTCTTCCCGGGTGGAAATGTGTTGAGGGTCACCTGCCCTGCAGGGGTTTTGCAGGGAATCTTCTGCACACATCAACAAGGCAGGTCAACTGGGCTTGGATTCAAGGGTGGCTGCTTTGCATTCATGAGATGGATGCAAAAATTGCAGTGTGGAGGGAGAGAGTTCATTAGCGTGGCATGCAAGAGTGCATCCAGATTTTTTTGCAAACAGAAGTTGCTGTGCCTTCTCCCCTCCCCTGTGCACCCATGTCAGAGTGAGCCCATCTTCCTTAATGCCAAGCACAGCATTCTGCAAATCGGATGCTAATTTCAGTCAACGATCTTGAAACTCCTCTCATACTTCAATCGGGCTGCCTACATTTTAGATTTCATTTTTAGATGTGCAGTTAATGTTGAGGTGGCTGTACTTATTTTTTTTTTAAGTCAGTGACCTTCGCAGATAACTACTAAACCCTATTTAAAACTACTGCGGAACCGCACCATATGTTTAAGGCACGTGGGTTCCACCAAAGAATCCTGGGAACTGTCGTTTCTTCTTAGCTATGTCTGTGTTTGTATGAGTTATGTGTGTTTTGTTTGTGTTTGTATTGATTCTTGTGAGCTGCCTTGAGTCCCGGTTCTGGAGGAAGAAGTGGAATATAAATAAATAATTTGCATAACATTGTCTGCACTGTTATCCGTTTCCAAATCCAGTGTGCCATCTCTGACAGTCACTGTTCCCTTAGGTGCACATTCCCAACCGCTGCGAGGCAGGCGGCATTCGGCTGGCTCCAGAGGACCCCGAGGATGAGCTTCCAGGGGACCCAAACCCCAGGGACCCTGAAGAGCTGAAGAAAGACCCCAGCTCCTGCTACTTTGAAGGGCAGCACCGGCCCCATGGCGCCCGCTGGGCCCCAGAGTATGACAAGAAATGCTCCGTATGCAGCTGCCAGGTGAGCGGAAAGGCGGGGCCACCTCCCGGAAGACTGTAAGCATCCAAAAAATAATAATAATTAGGGTGCAAGTTTTGTACAAACAGGAAGGTGTTTGTCCCCCCCCCCCCAAAATCCCACTACAGCAGCCTTTGCCAACTTGGAGCTCCCCAGAGATAGCTGGACTCCATTTGTCATGGATGCTTTAGCTGAGATTCCTGCACTGCAGGGGGTTGGACTTTCCAACTCTCCAATTCTATGATTCTGTGATTTTCATCAGCCCCAGCCTGAATGGCCAAGGGTGAGGGGTGATTGGGGTTAGGGCCAGCCTGTTAGGATGTGTCCAGGGAGATGGGGGCATCTGGCAGACCCCCTGCTGGCTCCAGCCCACTCGGAACAGCATCAAAACTGTGACTCAAGCCTCAGAGACCTTTAGAGACTGAGCACGCAAGCCAGCAGAGATAAGAACTCTTTGCAACAGAAGTGGCGGGCAGAGGCATTTGCAAGCTTTTATTCAGCATTAGAAGAAAGGAAAAACATGTCTGCTTCCCTTCGTGTCCAAGCAAACAGCAAAGGCAAAAGCTATATACAACGGAAGTTCCCAGCAGACTGTGCTGGAAGTAAACAGACATGTGAACATGTGATATACAACAACTCCACGTGCCTGTTTTAAAGGTGGAACGGAACTATATCCTAACATCAGCCCCAGCCTGAATGGCCAAGGGTGAGGGGTGATTGGGGTCAGGGCCAGCCTTCCCGTAAGGTGGGAGAAGCAGCCACCTCGGGCACTGATTTCTGGGAAGATTTCATGAGATCTCACCGGAACCTGCTGGCATTGCCAATACTTCATGCCACCACAGTGCAGCCTAGGGAAGGGACGCTTCGGCAGACATGGCAATGGAAGGCTGGACTGGCACTTCCTGATTTGATTAAAGCGGCGAAACGGGACACACCAGCCCTGATGGGAGTTGTAGTTCAGTAACATCTGGATATGTCAAGGACTGGACTTTCTACTGAGCTACGATGGTCCTTCTCTGGACCGTTGCTCTGTTGTGAAAGGAGATTAATGCTAACACCCACATGCTCATTCAGAGCTGCCGTTGTCTGAATAGCATCGGGGGGTGGGTGCAGAATCACAGCCGCTCCTCAAAGTGTATCACTTCTAAGAAAGTAAGGGTGTAAGGATGGGCATGCAGGATCAGAACCCGGGTTGGAAAGAAGCAGATTCTCCAGAGCTGTGTGAATGGGATTTGATACCTTCCTTTCTCTGCACGCTGCCTTTCAAGTCAGGCTTCCGAGGTGGAATGACTCTTCTCTTCTTGTTGCCTCCCCTCCCCTATCCTGCACCATAGAAGCGCACTGTTATCTGTGACCCTGTACTGTGCCCGACGCTCAACTGCTCCCGGCTAGTGCACCTGAGAGATCGTTGCTGTCCTGTGTGCGAAGGTAACATGGGGTTGAGCGGGGCCAGGTTAGAAAGTTGCAGAAGGAGAAGGGAGTTGGGAGGAGGGGGTTCTTAGTCTTATACGTTGCAAATATCTAGAGGGATCCAGAGGTAGGGAGCATGATGCAGAGCAAGACTGAAGTCTTACCCCTGGATTAGGTATGTAAAAAGTTTCCATTCTGACATATTCATCAGAGTCAGCACTGTTTCCATTCCACTGCAGTTCAGTTTCTGCCAAATCCTAAGTTATTTGCCTGGGTTCCACTATTCAAGTAATTATCTAAGGTTTCCTTTACATAACTTACACGCATTTGCCCTCCACCCCTGGCCTAGATTGCCACAGGTTTCTCACTCCTGTGGTAAGAGGACTTAGCAGTTCCAAACACAGCGACTGTTGCTGCCCCTGCCCCTATCTGTTCCCCATGATGCTTTCATGTCTTCATGTCTCTCATCATATCTTCCTGAACAGAGGAGAAGGAAACTCCAGGAGCACCAAGACCTGCTGAGCGAGCCCAAGACAGCAGCGAAGGTAAGGGGAAGGGAGGAGAAGATTTTCTGCAGGCAGAGGTGGATTTAAGGCAGAATGACCAGTTCCACCACCCTGGGCGCCAGGCCTAGGGGTGCCACAGTGTCACAACTAGCCAGCAGTGGCTCCCAGTTGGAGGTCCGTGGACCCCAGAGGGTCTGTGAGACCCACCCAGGGGGTCTGTGGCCCCATTCACATAGCAATAACTACCATAGAGGTATCAGAATCTCCAAAAGCAGGGAGTCCATGGCTTGGCTTTTGAAAAATGGGGATCCACAATACTTAGCTAATTAGGAACTACAGACTTAGTGAATTGAGCAGAATGGAAGGCAAGAGGCAGAGGGGGTGCCAAATTTTGTCGTCGCACAAGGTGCCACTGAAATTTGAAAGACCACCGTCTGTCACTGCTGCAAACCTCCTGCAAACCTGATAGCCGGCAAACCTGGCTATCCACGGAGAATGAGAGATCCAAGCAAGGCGTTGCATCAGTGGGGACGGCTGGTCCACTAGGGAGAGTGGGGCACTGCCCCTCCACCCACAGGCTGCCCTGAGCCAGCCCCATATTCCCTACCTTCTTACTTACAGCCAGTCCCAGGGGGCGGGGGGGGGGGTCTTGACTATCCTCCTTAGTCTCAGCAACTCAGTTTGAGGAGGAGGATGGAGACAAAACTAGAAGGCGTTGGCTCTGCCTGACATTAGCTGTGGCGCCAACTCCTATTTAGGCTACCGGTTTTCTGCCAGAACCGAACCAGCCATTAGGCAGGGTGAGGCCACTTCCTCAAGTGGCAGAAGACCTCCCACCCCCACCCCCGGCAGCACAGTGCTCTGATATAGCTCAGTCGGTAGAGCATGAGCCTCTTAATCTCAGGGTCGCGGGTTCAAGTCCCATGTTGGGTGAAATATTCCTGCATTGCAGGGGGTTGGACTAGATGACCCTTGTGGTCCCTTCCAAATCCACAACTCTATAATTCTGTAATGCACCTCCACCAGTGGTGGAGAAGCTGCATCAGTGCCAATTTTGAGCCAGGTCATGTCCATTTTGGGTGAGATCTAGCCCGAAATCACGTGAGATGCAGACTGCGCAAGGTCTCATGCAATTTTGGGTGGGATCTCACCCCAAATCGGCATGGAGTGAATTGTCATCAAAAAGCCACACCATCTCCTTGCAAACTGATTGTAAGGAATGCTCAGTAAACAAGTCTGCATAATGCACCCTCTTAGAGCATCCCTGTTCAGTACAACGTGTCCTTCAGCTCGAAGAGCAATGCACATGCCCCTTTCAAGACTGGGGAGATGCACTCTGACCTTCCTTCTCCCACTGCAGGCTGTTACTTTGAGGGCGACAAGACGTGGCGAGGAGCAGGCACCCACTGGCACCCCGTGGTCCCTCCCTTCGGCCTCATTAAATGCGCCATCTGCACCTGCAAGGTGGGTTCGTCAGCCAGGCCCTTGAGAGAAGCGTTCAGAGGAAGCCAAAGCTCACAACCAAAGAAAACCCTCCTCCTCCTCTCCTTTGCTTCTCAAATGCTTTGTTTATGCTGGGGTAAACAAGAAGCTGGTCTGTGGGCTTCTTTTAAAGCTTGGTGGCCATCACAGACTCATGGACATCCAAACGAAGCTGAATTCTGGGTGGATAAAATAAAGTATTTTTTCATGTAGTGCGGTTAAACTATGGCTCTCACTTCCGTAGTAGTGTTTTGAGAGAAGGAGAAAGAAAAACTTTTCTTTGTTCGTTTTCTCTATGCCATGTATAATTTTATAAACTTCTTTACTAGTCCTTTTCTTTAAACTAAAAGTCCCAAGCGCCACAGACTTTCTTCATAGGGGTGCCTTTCCAGCCCCTTGATCATTCTGGTTGTCCTTTTCTAAATCTGTCTTTATAATAACAATAATGTTTTTTTATTTATACCCTGCCCATCTGGCTGGGTTTCCCCAGCCACTCTGGGCGGCTCCCAACAGAATATTAAAAACACAATAAAACATCAAACATTAAAAACTTCCCTAAGCAGGGCTGCCTTCAGATGTCTTCTAAAAGTCAGATAGCTTTTTATTTCCTAGACATCTGATGGGAGGGTGTTCTACAGGGCGGGGGCTATTACTGAGAAGGCCCTCTGCCTGGTTCCACATAACCTCACTTCTCGCAGTGAGGGAACTGCCAGAAGGCCCTTGGAGTTGGACCTCAGTGTCCGGGCAGAATGATGGGGGTGGAGCCACTCCTTCAGGTATACTGGGCCAAGGCTGTTTAGGGCTTTAAAGGTCAGCACCAACACTTTGAATTGTACTTGGAAACATACTGGGATTGTGCTCGGAAACGTACTTTGTGTACGCATGCACATGTGTGCATGTGTATACCTTAAGGTTGGTTTGCGCATGGTGCTATGACCCTAAGGCTCACAGTCTGTACCTGCCCACACTCTTTGCACAGGGAGCCACGGGGGAAGTTCACTGTGAGAAGGTCCAGTGCCCTCACCTGACCTGCAGCAACCCCATTCGGGCCAACCCATCGGACTGCTGCAAGCAATGCCCAGGTGAGCCAAGCATTCTGGGACAGCAAGCGGAACCAAGCAGTACTCCACCAGCCACAAGTCCTTTTGCTGCCACAACTCTGGTTGTTCACATGGGGTGGGATAAAGGAAGTGACTGCCCCAGTGCTTTTTCCCAGCAGGAAAGAAGAGGTAGGGAAACCTGTGGCCCTGCAGATATTGCAGGACTCCAACTCCCAGCTCAGTTTCTGCCAAGGGCACAAATCCAATCGCCATAGAGGCAAGGTGCAGGTTACAATAAGAGTCATTGATGCATAGCTAAGTGCAAGATAAGACATTGGTCCAACAAACAACAGCTTGCTGGTCCCCCTATTCAGTCGCTGAGCTTCTGCCTCTGCCATGACAGCTCAGAAACTCAGGAGTTGTTGGAGGCCTTCAGTTCAGAGCATTCCCAACAAATAGCTGCCCAGCCTCTTGCAAGAGACTCTTGCTGAAGTTGCAAGCAAGACCACAGAAGCCTGAAAAAGCAGCTGCCAGCAACAGCAGTCCTCCTGCCTGCCTTTGCGATGAGTCACTCATTTAGAGTGCTCTGGAACTCCCTGCCTAGTGACAGCAAGCAGGCGCCTTCATCATACTGCTGGAAACTTTTCAGTTTCAGTGGGTCTATTCGGAGGCAAGATTTGGCTGCATTTGTGTTTTTCAATTTTTAAAAAAATGTTCTACTGTTCATTGTTCTTGACTTTTTTTTAGATCCTTTTAATTTAATTTAACCGTCTTAAATGTGTTTTTAATTTTATTTTATTGTGATGTATCACTGGCGTGTTCACTGCCCTGGGCTCCTTTGCGAGGAAGGCTGGGATATAATTTAATGAAATAAACATAAATTAAATTGTTCTATTTTCCTTGATGGAGCAGAGCTGTGCCTGGACTGGGCCACTTCGGATGGCAGTGGGCGGCTCACACAAATGAATATTCCTCTATACACACACAAAGAAGCATCACTTCACCTAGGGTCACTGAAACTAGCAAGTCAGGGAGAAGGACATGCTAGAAGGTATATTTGGTTTTTGCAGTGGGGGAAGCTTACAGTATCTGAAGTGGTTCAGCCCAGACATAGACTCCTCTGCCTCTGAGACCTTTTAAACCAGTCATAGGTGTGTCCTTAAACGCCACTGTCATGGGAGTCGACCAAGTCAGTATTGGGAAGGAAGCCTAAATCTTTCCTTTGAATTCTGTGTGTGTTTTGTTCTTGGTGACCTCATGATTTAGGCATTTCGGGATGTTTTTTCCCACCAGGGAGTGTTCTGGGGCTCATGGCCGCATCTTCCTCGCCCTTCCAAATGTTCTCTCTGTGTTCTTTCCGTAGCCCCAGAGAGGAGTCCCTCTGCCCTCTCTGACATGATGCAAGCGGACGGACCCAGGGCCTGCAAGTTTGGGCGGCAGTGGTACATGCACAACGAGAGCTGGCACCCCACCGTGCCCCCCTTTGGGGAGATGAAATGCATCACCTGCTGGTGTCTGGTGAGTGAGGGGCAGAAGGTGGCAGAGGAGGAGGGAGTTGAGCTGCAGGGGTAGGACAACCCCAGGCCCCAGGTCAAGGTGGATTTGGGGAGCCTGGCTTCAGTGCACTTTCTGTAGACTTGCTCTGACCTCCAGCACCACCTCATACCACTCAACTGTCCCGAATTGAGCAAAGCATCCCGGAATTGCAGACTCCATCCCTGTTTCCAATTGGATCCCGGAATGTCCTGTTTTTCGATCCGGTACTCTGGTGGGAGTCAGCTGGCTCACACCAGAGACACTCGGGTTGTTGTTTTTGTCTCGCGCTAGTCAGCCAGCTCCAGCAAGAGCTGGGGATCAAAACATGAGCATCCCAATTTTGATCATCAGCGGGATGCTGGAGGATATGCCGCCCCCAAGTTTTGGCTGTAGTGTAAATGCCTCCTGCTGTCCTTTTTTCAGTCTGGGGAGACTCACTGCCAGCGCCAAGAATGCTCTCCTGCCTCTTGCTCTGGAGGGGAGAAAACGGAGGACAGCTGCTGCTCCAAATGCCACGGTCAGTAGGAGTGTAGTTCTGTGTAATATAAATGTAACATTCTTATGATAATCATTATTATCTATGGACTTCTTCAGTGGGCAGAATATTTTAGTCCTGCCTTTTTATCAATATGAATGTGTTCTTATCTTTTACTGTTTTAGTTCTGTGTTCCTTTCTGTTTTATAAAAGTTGAGCTAATAATTGTAGAATTGTAGAGCTGGAAGGGACCACGAGGTCCACACCCAGCCACCCTGCACTGCAGGAATTTTTTGCCCAATGTGGGGATCGAACCCACGACTCTGAGATTGAACTATCTATAATAATGAACTGATGAGGACAGCTGTCAGGTGGAAGGTCTTGCTCAACAGAAGAGGGTTAGATTGCAAATGACTGGCCTTCTTTTCCAAACTGCAGGATGAGTGATTTCATGGGGCCTCAGCTGAATCTGCTGCTGAAAACACAACTTGGAGGTTTCCAAGTTCCAGCTCCCACTAAGCAACACGTGTGCCCCTAAGATTGTGTTTCCAGTTCTCACTGCGCACACACACACACACACACACACACACACGCAAAATTTGTTAAGCCTGCCTTTTCACCTGGACTACACCTAGAGAAGTCTGGGAATGTTGTGGATAGTAGGAGAGGATATATTGCTTAAATATTATCCTTCTTTACTAATGCTAGTGAGCCATTTAGCAGAGCATATTCCCCCCTATACAGCAGGAAGCAAGTTTGCAGATTCGTTTGAATCTCTTTAGCTAAGCAATCCAGTCCCGCATGCCCAGATTGGATTATTCCTGGTAAGACCCCTTTTGACCCCTCTTAAAAAGAAACAAAGACACAACAGTCTTCCTTAAACAGTAACAAGAAGTTTACTTACATTCAGTTCACAGTATGATCCCTGAAGGCAGGCTTTAGCTTGTAGTTACAGAAGAAGGTGTGGATTTATCCCATAAGGGGATTCATCCCATGTGCTGCTGGCAGAGAGCCAGCAAACAGCATCAGGAAACAGGCATCAAGAAGCAAAGCATCAAGAGAGGAAGATGGCTGCGTGACTGGCCCATTTTTTGGGGTCTGCAAGGGTCATGCCCACCTACTGTATACCTGAAGGAGCGTCTCCACCCCCATCGTTCAGCCTGGACACTGAGATCCAGCACCGAGGGCCTTCTGGCTGTTCCCTCATTTCGAGAAGTGAGGTTACAGGGAACCAGACAGAGGGCCTTCTCAGTAATGGCGCCGCCCTGTGGAACGCCTTCCCTTCAGATGTGAAGGAAATAAGCAGCTATCTGAAAGCAGCCCTGTTTAGGGAAGTTTTTAATATTTGATCGTGTTTTTAATATTCTGCTGGGATGCTGCATTGCTTTTAACACTTGACTGGGAGCTGCCCAGAGTGGCTGGGGCAACTCAGCCAAATGGGCAGGGTATAAATATTATTATTATTATTATTATTATTATTACTACTGTTGGACTTCTTTGCCAACACAGAGTATGCGCAGCAACTGGAGCATAGAAATACAAGGCTGTCCGCAATATCTTTGCTTATTTTTGTTTTCAAAAACGTAACAGTCAAAAGCTGCAAGCCATCACTCCTCACCAGCAGCATACAAAACATTTAATCAACTTAAATACAGTTTTCAAATAATCAATTATCCTATCACATTCCTTCCTGCATCCAGTGCAGAAAGTAAACTCCCCTTTTAATTAAACAGGTGTACAGCTAAGTAGGTCAAACTGCACACATATACCTGTGAGCTTTAATTATCCAACCCTGTTCCTGCGTAGCATCATTGACCACTTTAAGATAAAGAAAAACCAACACCTACCTGGTCACATGCAGGGGAAGCATGCTCCAGACCAGGTGTAACAGGAACGTCAACTGGCTGGATCAACATCCCCCTGTCTGTGTCAACGCAAACAAGGAACGTTGTATTTGACTGCTACAAGGATTACATCCCACAAGAAGGTGCAGAGTCTATTGCAAAAGAAAAAACAAAACACAACGAAGGCAGCTTTGAGTGTAGCCTTCCTTTGCTTTGGGTCCTGCTCTCTTGTTTACTTAAAACCTCCCCCCTCCCCACCTTGCCTTGCAGCACCAGATGACACTCAGGAGATGCCACGAGAGGAAGCTAAGGATTCCTGGGGACACTAGCTGGCTGGACCAGGGAGCCCAGATGTCACGGCGGGCACTGCCAAGTGCTGTTAGAGCTGAAGAACAGGGCATTTTACAGATGGCGCTTCGCAAGACCTCCCCAAACCCCTCCACGTTTTGTTGGCTTCCTAAGTCAACAGAGGAGAGGGGGCGACTTCTGCTCTTGCCACAGAATGAGCAGCCATCCTTTTGAGTGCCTGGCACGCTCTTGGCTCTCTGCTCCCTGGCACCAGCCTGGCTGTCGTATATATTTTGGACCGGCATCCGCGAAAGGAGATGGGGGATCCACAAGCCTCTTGGGGACTGCAGGTGGCTGCCAAGCAAGGCTATAATTGCAATGGAGAGGTGTGCGTGGCATTATCTGTCGTGCTAGGTAAAGCTGTTAGCCCCCTTCTCAGGGTGAGGTCTTGGAGCGCAGCTGGGAACCCTTGTATAGGACTGCAACAAATTCAAGAGTGCTGTGCCTCCATCCAACTGTTTCAGACGGCTTCATGTCTCCAGTACGGCTTACATGGCTCACCCCCAGACCAGCTTGTATATGGTGTAAAATTGCCACCCTCTGCTGCATCTCTTTGGGGTCTGTTGTTGGGAAGGACTTGTTGTGTAATTTATGGTTTCTATGGGCAAGTTTCTGTTTGCTCCCCGCTCATCTCAATGCGGGAGGATTGTTACGGGAGATGATGTATTTATTAAAAAAAAAAAAGAATCAGCGGAGTAAAGCTAGTGAGCTTTGGCAAGTGTTTTTGCGATTTCCCACCCTATCCCAAAGGTGTTTCTGTTGACTCGGATTGATGGCTTCAAGTTACAATGAAGGAGATTCTGACTCAACATCAGGAAGCGCTTTCTGGCAGTAAGAGCTGTTCAACAGGGGAACGGTCTCCCTCGGGAGGTGGTGGACTCTACTTCCTTGGAGGTTTTGAAGCAGAGGTTGGATGGCCGTCTGCCATGGATGCTTTAGCTGAGATTCTTGCAATGCAGGGGGTTGGACTAGATGACCCCTTGGGTCCCTCCCAACACTATAATTCCATGATTCTTCATATTGCACTCTTGGGCACGGTCGGAGTAGAGCGCTGCCCTTACAAGAAGAACCTGCCGGATCAGGCCAGTGGTCCATCTAGTCAAGCATCTTGTTCTCATGGCAACTAACCAGACGCTTGTGGGAAACCCGCAAACAGGACCCGAGTTCAAGAGCTCTCTTTCTTGCTGTCGTTTCTAGGAACTGGTATTCATAAGCATTTGCTGCCATAAAGTCGGAGAGTCAGGATGACTAGTAGCCATTGATAGCTTTTAGCACCATGAATTTGTCTTTTGAAGCCTCCTGTGGGAGGGAGTTCCAAAGGTTCTGTGCTGTATGAATAAGTCCTTTCTTTTATGTGTCTTGAATCTCCTGACGTTTGGCTTCATTGAATGTCCATGAGTTCTAGCGTTAAGAGAAAGGGAGAAAAACTCTTCTCTTTCCACTTAAAATGTTATAAACTCCTATCATGTCACCTCTCAGGGCTCATCCATAATTTCCAGGAACAGGACTGAGAGGTTTTCCTTTTGTCCCACCACTTCCCTCTGGAAACTCCCTGCTGATTACCACTGAATCTGAACAATCGTCACCTGGGTTTTCTGCAGATCAGCCTTTACAGTGGTACCTCTCGATATGAACAGGATCCGTTCCGGAGCCCCGTTCACATCCTGAAGTAAACGTAAGACATGACTGCACGTCTCCGCGTGCGCGGGTCGCGTTTTGTTGCTTCCGCGCATGCGCGTGACATCATTTTGAATGTCTGTGCATGTGCGAGCGGTGAAACCCGGAAGTAACACACTCCATTACTTCCAGGTCGCCGTGGAGCGCAACCCGAAAATACTTAACTTGAAGCTACTTCAACCCGAGGTATGACTGTATTCTGATTCAGCCGTATACAATGGGTTTTCCCAAGGACAGTGATGGGTTGGGCCATAATGTGTGTGTAAGGGGAGGGGGACTGCTGGGGCAATCGCCCTGGGAGCATTTTTCAGGGGATGCACCACTCACTCCATCCTCCCCGGGCCAGCCCTGCACCGCTTTGTGAGGCTGGGATTTGATCAGAGTTGGGGAGGATGGTCTGAGAAGGACTTCCCTCACCCTTCGATTCTAGCCTCACTCTTGAGGGGCTGAGATTGAAGAGCGTGTGACTGTTGTGCCCTTCTCATTCTGCCTTCCCTAAGCCTGACCAGATCCCAGCCTCACAAAGCGGCTCAGGGCTGGTGTCACTCCAGCGCTGTTGAAGCTTTCGAACCCATGCCTAGAAATTACAGGACAAACAGGAGTGTGGAAGAGTCTTCATCTTTTTCTTGAACTAAAAAGTCCTAAGCGCTGCAACCATCATTTGGGTGGCCCTTTGCCAAACTTTTTCCAGCTCTGCAATGGGTTTTTTTAATCTACATCTGTTGTGGACAATGATAGCTTGCAATTCTGTAGCAGCAAGCCAAGCCATGTGCCACCCTCAGGTGCTTTTGCAGCTCCCTGATTCCTCGTCCTGAGTTGTGCTAGCTCAACTTAACACAGTGGTTCTCAAACTTTTTTCTCTGGGCCACACTTTCATAATAAAAACAAATGATTATTGACAAGGTAGAGGGTAAAGGTAAAGGACCCCTGGTTGGTTAAGTCCAGTCGAATTTGGCTATGGGGTGCGGCGCTCATCTCCATTTTCAGGCCAAGGGAGCCGGCGTTTGTCTGCAGACAGTTTTTCCAGGTCATGTGGCCAAAACATTGGAAATCACAACTAAGATTGTCCTTGATTTCAGTTGATGCTCTTGCTCTCATTTTGAAAAGATATCTATCCATATTCTGCAAATAAAAAAATACTATTTTGATACTGTACTACATTACACTGAAATGTTTAAACGTTTCTTTGATGGTCCTTGAATCTTCCTGCCACGCACTGCGAGAAGCACTGACTTTGCAGTCATTTGGTGGGTCTAGTAATTATGGAGTTGTTACGCCCCCTGGTGGAAGGGATGAGTTCAGATTTGCCCGTAGCACTTTCTCCCTGTTTCCCATGCAACATGTGGTGTAGGGACACAGGGCACATGTTTAATATTTGGTGACTAAGGATGGTGAATATAACAAGCCAAAGCAGTGGGCTACTTGCATAGGGTTGGGTACCACAGCCTGCCAAAAGATTTGCAATAAGAACATAGGGAGTCATGCATACTCTCCATCATGTCTCTGATGAAAATAGGGGTGTCCCCTTCTTCTTCTTCTTCTTCTTCTTCTTCTTCTTCTTCTTCTTCTTCTTCTTCTTCTTCCCTGCCCATCTTAACAGTCTGAGCAGCTTCCAACATATATAAAAACATAACAAGACATTAAATGTTAAAAAACCCACTTCCCTATACAGGGCTGCCTTTAGAAGTCTTCTAAATGCCGTATAGTTACTTGTCTCCTTGGCCTGGGGATCGCATAGCTCCATGGCCTCCATGCAACATTTCTCCAATAAAAATAGGGACATCCTAAGGAAAAGTGGGACATTCTGGGATCAAATCAGAAACCGGGGCAGCTTCTGTAAATCCAGGACTGTCCCTGGAAAATAGGGGTGCTTGGAGGGCCTGGTCTCGATGCATCAGACCAAAGGCCCAGACAGTCGCAGCATTTTCTCCGCAATAGTTATGGAGATCAAGAGAATGCTTTGCAAAGCACATGTATGTTGAGAATCCAATACAGTGACAGCAAACTCAGAATATGGATTCTTAGGTAGCCAAAGCAGCACGCAGAAGGGGGGATGTCTCCAGGATCAGGTGGTGGCAAGGTGTTCAGAAGTACACCAAATCTTTAGGACCAGTGGTGTAGCAAGGTCAGGTGGTACCCGATGCAGAAAATTTCTTGTCACTGCCCCCCAACATTGAAATCTAGTTGGACTCCCAAGAGACTGCGATCTACTCACAGTATAAAAAGACTGGCTGTGATCATTGTCATTGCCAGGAGTTGTTCAGCTTTTTAAAGGGAAGGTTTGACCAAAGTTGTTGAGCTTTTTGGGGGGTTACAGGGTTTGGGTCCTGAGTTGAGGAAGCTTCTGCTTCTCTCCTTCCCTCTACCCTCTGCTTCTCTGCTCGCCTGCCTCCTTCCCGTCCTCTCCCTGCCTGCCAACATGCCTCCTCCAGCATCCCGGGGCTGTGAAAACAAAGTGGGGAGGGGGGAAGGCCTCCAGCAAAGCAGTGCAACTCTGTCCCTTCCCCCGAGGGATGGGGTAGACAGGAGTCACAGGTGGGCAGCGCGCCAAATGAGATGAACCCCCTCAGAGATGACACCCACCTTGCTCTGCCCCTGTTTAGGACAAACTTGTTAAGTAGTAGAAGAACAAATTAGCATACAAAAATGTCTCTATTGGGAGAAATGCTCACTAAAATACTGGGAATTCTAATGTCAACTTTTTCTTTAAAAATAACAAATTGATGTGAAGAACTACAGATTGGAAAAACAGCATAGAAACTGAAATTGACAGGTTCCTTCATCCCTATATAGAGGCTTTTAAAAATCATATTTGTTTTGCGCATGTGTTTCCTTGCCCGCTCTTGTTGCGAAGTTCCTGCATCAATAGCAGAAATCCTAATCCACCATGGCAGACCTGAAGATCATTGCCATGTTATTACCATAGGGAAAAAAGTCACAGAATCAATTTTCTTTTATCACACAACAGCCTTTGTTTCCAGAGCAACAAGGTGGCAAGTCATACAGCTCAAGAGGCATAAAAACTGACAGTTCAATTGGTTTCAAAATTTGTTGCACTCACAGAGACACATTTTTTTTAAAAAAAAAAGAAGAAGAAGAAGAAGTAAAAAGGGGGAAAGGAATCCTCTGTGGCTGAATGCTTTCAGGAATAATAAATAATAATAATAAATTTTATTTATATCCCGCCCTCCCCAGCCGAAGCCGGGCTCAGGGCGGCTAACAACAATAAAACAGTACAAAAGTACAGCATAAACAACAGTCTAAAATCATTCGTTATAAAATTAATTAATTCAAGCCACTGGCAACTATTGGGCCAGAGCTCCGCGAAGATTGCCGAGGGAGGGAGTCAGGCTGTGCCCTGGCCAAAGGCCTGGTGGAACAGCTCTGTCTTGCAGGCCCTGCGGAAAGATGTCAAGTCCCGCAGGGCCCTGGTCTCTTGTGACAGAGTGTTCCACCAGATCGGAGCCACAGCCGAAAAAGCCCTGGCTCTAGTTGAGGCCAGCCTAACCTCCCTGTGGCCTGGGACCTTCAAGATGTTTTTATTCGAAGACCGTAAGTTTCTCTGTGGGGCATACCAGGAGAGGCGGTCCCGTAGGTACGAGGGTCCTAGGCCGTATAGGGCTTTAAAGGTTAAAACCAGCACCTTAAACCTGATCCTGTACTCCACCGGGAACCTTTCCAAACGGATGACGCCCTCTCTAGACAAACAGCTGTAGCGTGAAACAAGCTGTCTCCCTACCAGATGCCCTGCAGATGTTTTGGACAATGAATTCCACCAGCCAAGGATGAATTCCTCCACCAACACTGGAGGGCACCAGGTTGGGGGAAGGCCGGTGTGGACCGCGCGACTTTGGGCTGCGTGTCTTCCCTCTTGCAGAAACAAGAAATGAAATGTACAAATCTATGTTGCGACTACACTTGGAATACTGTGTGATAGTCTGGTCACGTCACCTGAAGAAAGATGCTGTAGAGCTAGAAAACGTTCAGAAAAGGACAACCAAAATGAGCAGTGGGATGGAGCAATTTCCGGATGAGCAATGGTTGCAAGCTCTGGGACTGCCTTAGAGAAAAGACAAGAACAAGGAGACATGATAGAGGCATGTAAAATTAAGAATGGTGTGGGGAAAGAAGAATTTTTCTCGAACTCTAGGACAACCCAGGGAATTTTTTTTGAAGGTTTAGGAGAGATGAAAGAAAGCACATCTTTGCACAGTGCCTGGTTAAATTATGGAACTCACCTCCACAAGAGGAAGCAATGGCCACCAACTTGGACGGCTTTAAAAGAGGAATCAAACAAATTCATGGAGATAAGGCTGTCAATGGCTACGAAAAGGTTGCTTTTCATCTGACTGAAGAGCTTTTGTTAAAGCCCAACATGTGGTCAAAAGTAAGAACCACTCCCAGAAAAGCTACATGTAAAATTGAAGTTATGGCCCTAAAAGGGTGTTTGGGGGGGTATTATTATGTACTGTTGTGCCATGTATAGTCCTGTGACTGGGGCAGCTGTCATGATGAGCTCCTGCACCTCCACCACTGCAGAATTCCTGCACCCTTTAAAGAAATTTGCTCCCCGAACCCTTTTCTCCAGGGTAGTTTGGAACTCACTGTCTGCTAAAGGTCTGCCAATTAGGCAAGTATTTCAGGAGCCCAAATAAAAAGCAGAAAGAATATAACAGCTATCAGCCCTGTTAACAGGTGATGTACAAAGTAGGGGATGGGATCTTGCGTGGAGAATGTACATAGAATAACAGAAATGCAGAGCTGGAAGGGACCCAAAGGTCATCTAGTCCAACCCCCTGCAATGCAAGAATCAGAGCTAAATAATCCCTGAAAGATGGCCATCAATGCTCTGCTTAAAAACCTTCAATGAAGGAGAGTCCACCTCCTTCTGAGGGAGTCCGTCTCACTATCAAGCAGCTCTTAGTGTCAGAAAGTTCTTCCTGATGTTGAGTCGGAATTTCCTTTCTTGAATTCATAGTTTCAAGTGCTGTACTCTGGAACACGAGAAAACAAGCTTGCTCCATCTTCCATGTGACAGCCCTTGAGATATTTGAAGATGGCTGTCATATTTCCTCTCAGTCTCCTCTTTTCCAGGCTAAACATTTCCAGCTCCTTCAACCGTTCCTCATAAGGCTTGGTTTTCAGACCCTTAACCATCTTGGTTGTCCTCCTCTGCACAAGTTCCAGCTTGTCAATATCCTTCTTAAATTGTGATGCCCAGAACAGGACACAGTTCTGGTCTAGGTGTGATCTGACCAAGGCAGAATAGAGCAGGGCTATTCCTTCCCCTGACTTGGACACTACACAATCTACTGTTGTGAGATTTCATAGCTCAGTCCTCGTCCCCCGCCTCCTTCGCTGGCACAGCCTGATGCCAAGGCTGCAGCTGAATGCCTTGGCAAATGCCACCCACCCTGCTAGTCTGGAGCATGAGGAAGTCTCGCATGAATGGGGAGCAAGCAGGAAATCCTGCCTGCAAAGAGTCCAGCTAAAACAGGGGTCAGCAAGGCATGGGCTGGATCACTCCCGCAGAGATCCTCCATGGGCTGGGCCAGCGCAGCGTGACGCTGGAAATTGCTTCTGCGCATGCCCAGACGCTGAAAATCGTGCCTGCACAGATGCGATTTCTGGCATCTGGGCATGTGCAGAAGCGATTTCCGGAGCCGCGGAAGAGAGTCCCCACGCTGCACTGTGCCAGTTTAGCACAGTGTGTGGGGACTCGCCAAATGGGCGGCTTGGTTCAGGGGCAGCTCGGGGGCTGGTTAAAAGGCTTCCATGGGCCGCTTCTGGCCCATGGGCCTTAGGTTGCCGACCCCTGCATCTAAAGCATGAACAAAATCATTTTTCTCGCCAGCCAAGCAACCTCCCTCCTTTGTGACTCTCTTCCTTTTCGCCACTAGAGGGAGGCAAAACCCAGCACATCTCAGAGGGGAGATGCAGCCCCAGGCTGTAAAGGATTTTGGGTGTGTGTTAGAATCTTCCAGTGATTCCTCTGACTTCTGTACATTCCAAGGGTGCCACGTATGTGCAACAACATGTATCCCTGAACCTGCACCACCTTGCTCATGACCACCCTTCCCTTCCAACTTCAAAGCACCTCTAGGATGTTCTTGAGAGCATGCAATTAATCTGCACAATTTCAACCACATAAGTTTGACATTGCGTGAGTCAGCTCTGCAGCAGAGTGCCGTCGTCCTGGGGCAGCAGGTGT